TAATTCTCCAACAATTCAATAAATAACAGAGTTATTAAAATAAAAAGGTCCGTATGGTCAAAAGTTCAACGAAGAAAATAGGGGAAACGACGTAACTGGATAAGAAGATCATAAACTTCAGTAGCTTGAGACCTCTGGATAATTTTCCCTATTTTCTCAACCTGGCGACCGTAAATTATCATCTTGATACCAGTACATTTACCCACCGCCCACTATCCCGATCATCCTTTTTTATCAGAGAGACCAACATCTGTTGTCTGCAAACTAATAAGGTAAAAAATCTTTACCAAAAAATTACATCAAAAGAATTTGCGTTAATTAAAGCTTTGACGCAACTGCTAAAAATTTCTACTGCACCAAAAAAAATTTAATTCTAGAGAACTTTTTTTTATTATTATAATAATGAAGATAGGTATAAAATAACTTTAGAAATCTCAATGCGAATAACATTTACTGGAAAGATTTATATAATAAAATTGGCGGCGCTAATTAATAAATTATTTGAATTATTGAAGGTGTTTCGCGTAGAAAATCGATGAAGTTAATCAACTTTTACCTGAAGAAATTTGACTTTTCTCATCCTGACCCATTAAGGAGTCCCTAATACAATCAAGACTTCGGTGACGAATCTGAGTAACCCATAACTGATTTTATAAAGCTTGAAGATACAAAGCTTAACGGGTTTGCCGCTGCCATATCATAAAAAATCATATTATTAGTGTACAAAAATTTTAATATTGAAAAAAAATTTGTTTGTCTATGAAAAAAATTTAAATTAAAAAATTCAAATTCCGAAAAATTTTTCAAATAGATCAAAAGGAAGTGTAATACATGTGACTCCAAAATTTTTTTGGATAATTAAACAAAATAATTTTGCTACAGTTAGTTTAAACATTTTGTCGCTGTAACTAAGTGATTTTATTGTCAAAAATAGTTGTAAAATTTTGGGAAGGGTTTTTCCAAAATTGTCATTAAAGTTATAATTTTTTTATTATTGTAACAATTAAAAAATTCTGGGTATGGTTAACTCTGCAGGCTATCCCTGGGAACTTCCTGTTATATTCAAGTTTAAAAGGCTTAAAAAATTTTCTATACCAAAGTTTGTAGCTCGAAATAAAACTTTGAGCTTGAAAATCTAGTTACTGCCTCGGAAAAATGTTTTTTTTTTAAATTTAGCCATTAAAATTATTAATTATTTGAACAAAATAATTTATCTATTTCAACAACATTTGTTATACCAACTGAATGGTTTATATTGAACCAATAAAAATTTTTTCTTATTCTAACATAACAACCTTGTTATTTAAACAAATCAATTTGTTCCTTAAACTGAAATATTTTGTTGTTATAACAGATAAATTATTACTTATTAAAATCTAGACTTTGTTATCCTAAAATATGATTTTTTATCCCTATGTTAACATATTCATTTTTTGAATACGTTGCCCCAACAAAAATTTTCTTGCCTGTAATTTTTACAAGATTAAAGGTCTTAGATGTCAAATTTCTACCCTTAAGCCCGAGTGTTTGCATAGATTTTTTCCGTGGGGAATTTTTGCTTATAAAAAAAGTACTTTCTATTTAAGTATTTACAAACGCTATCCAATAAAAAATCCGTCAAAAGATTTCGTCTTTTGTCACAGAAAAACTCGGAGCCTGAAACTTTTATTCACATTTTATACCGGAGACATACAAAGGAGTAACGAGTTTTAAATAAGTAGTGTGTAATATAAGTAGAAATGGATTTCTCTGGGAAAAGCTACACAGAAGAAAGGGCTGAGGTGTAACGCAAATATCTACCCACACCAGAAGGGAGGAGAAAATACAAGCTCAAGCTCTTCTCCTCACTTGTACTTCTCGTAACTATAACCCGAGGGTTTTCTCCGAGGAGATGAAAGCGACGAGTTTCCGGCCGACGCGCACCACCTCCATCCTCTAACGCGGAAGGGGTTTGTGAGCAGTGCGATTTACTCTCATAGCACAGTCTCTTATTCAACCCGTAACGTGTTCATTACTCTTTTTACGGGAATTCTTTGTAGTTATTTCTTAATAAAGTTTAACCCGAGTAATTTTTATTTACTCCGACTCTAGTATTTTTTTTTTATTAATTTTTACAAAATTTACTGACTTATAATGATAACTTTTTCATCCGACCGAAGGTTTGTTTACTTTTTTTTCTTTCGAAATAAAATTGCATTGTAAAAAAAAATAAATAAAGTTTTTGTTTTGTAACTATGCGAAGTGTGAACAGTATGTAAGGTAAAAGACTCAATTATTGACACTTGCAATTTTATTTTAATTAAAAAAAAAAAATCAACTTTAATAAATTAATAAATATAAATTTTAAGAAAATTGGTTTTTTGAGAACATTTAATTTTCTTAATTAAAATAAAATTGCAAGTGTCAAACAACTAGGCCAGTGTCAATAACTGGGTCTTTTACCTTATACATATTTTATAAATATATTTATATATTTTTAATATATTTAAAATATATTTTTTATGTATTTCGACATATATTTTTTTTCATGGGAATAAAATTTTTTGCAGGTCTATTTTTTCCTCTTACAATTTGTTATAAATAAAAACAACTTATGAACCCTGATTCGAAGTGTCTTACGTTTGCATTACTTGTAGTGGACTAGACATACAAGTACAAGTACAAGTACAAGCAAATAGACGGATAAGAAAAAGAGAACAAGGAAGAAATAAGAAAGAAGAAATGATTAAGACTAACAAAAAGGTCAACTTAAAGTTATATATTACTTTGCTACAGTATACTTCTTCTTTTATCACGTTTATCCACTTTTATAAGCACTCGTGAGACTTTTCAAACAGGGTTTTTATCCGACTACTGTAACAAACAGTCGGTTAAATTATTTCAGGGGTACACCCACTAAATACAGACATTGTATACAAACAAACACACAAATAAAACTTACATATAATACATATACAAACGCACACAAACTTTATACATATACTTATACATATATAGTTATATATGTATTGATGTATATACAGATAAATATACATAGTCATATTAACGATGCCCAAGGGGTTAACACACACGTGGGTGCAATTGTACAGCGTGGGAATTGCACATTCGTGTACTGTACCGCGATTATACACAAGTACACATTTACGCACAAAATTTAAAGAATAATTAATAAATAAATTAAATGATAAAATATAAAAACATTTCTAATGGGTACTGAAGAAATATTTAAACAAATGTGAAGATATGTACCCGTTAGTTTCTACCTGTCTGCGCTTCTCGGAACGGAGATATGCATTGTATTGTACTTTTTTTAAAAAGTAATATTTAATTATTATTGTAATGATAAATATATCTATACAGACATATGTATATTCTAAACACCGATGTACTCAGTCTATGTTTATATACGTGTTTTATATTAATAAAAAAAGAAATAATAAATTAATTAAAAAAAAAAATAATAAAAATATAAAATTGTGAGCGATGGACATAAATACAAAGAAGAAATGAAAAAAAAAATTTTTGTGATTTTTTTTTTTTGTGAAAAGTACTGCTAATTATATAGATAATTACTTTCTCGGAAAATACTGTGAAAGAAATTTAAAAAAAAATACGTGAAGAGATGTAATTACGCATAAAGCAACGACAGGTATTTATGTATTGTATAAAAGAAAGATAAAAATAAAATATAATGAAATTATAAAATAATGTAAAAGTTATTTATTAATTTATTTGTCGCGGGTGTAAAATTTGGGATAGAATTTTTAAATGGTGATTAAGTATATCACTATTATATACAAATACAAAGTTATGGATACATGGAAAGATCAAGATGATACTGGATATTATCCTAGATTATACTCTGTGGTGAAAAAAAATTTCAGATAGCATCTAAAAAATCCAGATTATACTACGTGATATCTGGATTATATTTATTGTAATTTGTATTTTACTAGCTATCTGAAAAATTTTTTTTACTTAGTACAATCTGGGATGATATCCAGTGTCATCTTGTTTTTTTCGTGTACGAGTAATGAGTTAAGGTACGACTGTAGGCAAGATGGGAAGAAATAAAGTCTAAGACACATGAGCTTGTAATTGTTAATAAGCATGTAATACTGTCGAACGATTTTGTCCCAGACAATTTTCGGTGAGAAACTTGATAAGACACTCATGTTTTTTACTCTGTAATTAAATTGCAGATTACGATGATAATAAATGCTATTTGACGAGTGACGTGTGGCTTTGTTATTTTTATTTCAATCTAGTCTTTTAGATTTACATTAATTTTCTTTTTACTATTTTGGTTTTTATAATTAACCCGTAGTGGTCATACTTCTTAAAAATAACGTAATGGTCATATTGGGTCTAGTTGACCCCATCTACGGAAAAATTAACACTTTCATTGAATAACTCAATCGTTTTTTAATTTTTTTTTTCAATTGTTTAATTATAAAAAAAAAAAAATGCGAGAAAGTCAAATTTTTCAAAAATGGTTTCTAAATTTCACTTTTCAAGAATTTTTCGTCTTGATCCAAGACAATAAAAAACTCTTCAAAATTATTTTCTTGGTTCAAGAATTTTTCTCTTGATTCAAATAAATTTTTTTTTCTGTGCATGAATCTCAAAAAATCTTCAAACAAGAATAGATACAATTTTGAATGATATCTTCTACGCAAGAGCAACTCAAAAATTGTCTCGGGTCATCTAGACCCATGACCACTACGGGTTAAAAATCTTAAAAAGAAATTTTTTATTTTCGGAATTGTTTAGCCAAAAAATCATTTAGATTTAGGGAATAAAACATTTATTAATAATTAATAATACTCTTAATTAGAATAAGGCACATTTTGTTTATTCCGGACGGAAGAAATATATAATATAATATATTTATATATAAAATATATAATTAATTAAAAGTCTAATAAGTACCATAAATCATCACGTTCTGATCTACTTAATCTATTTAATTTAAATAATAATAATAAAATGGTAATACGTCACTTGTCTTCATACTCTTTGCTACTGGCATCAGTTTGATTCTTTCTCCTGGGAAGGTGAAGGGTAAGCGGCTGCTGGTCCCTGTCCTGCCTCTGCTCCAGGTCCTTGCGGACCATAATCTTCGAACTAGGAACATGTTGCTCATGGTGAGTCCAGTCAAAGTTAAAAACCGGGACTTCTGAGTGCAAGTCCGCGGAGTCTGGAGTGTCTACGGGAGTAGTCGGGGTGGTGATGTACATCGGACTGAGATCCTGGTGAACGACATCAGGAACCCTTTGGAGCGCGTCGGACCAAATTGGACTGGAGTTCCACTGGTCCATGGTTTCATGGGGATCCAGCATCATGATTCCGTTTGTTTTGCCACCCCGCTTGTGTCCCGAGTTCCTCTCAGCACAAGCATCTCCGTAGGCTGAGTCCAGGTCAGTGTACTTCGGAGACTCGGCAGAAGATACTGACGAATACTGACGACCATGAAGGTAATGGACCGCCAATTTACCTCTGTACCCACAAAACTTGGGCGTCATCCTTGCGTGCTGGTGTTGCTGGTGATAATGATGGTGATGCGCGGGAACTTGCTTGGGAAACTCGATGTTTATCGGGTGAGACAACTGGTACAGAGTCCGGGTCTCGTGCTCTCCGCTGCTGTTTATCGACATGTCAACCGGCTCGATGTCTTCTTGGTTGGTCACCTCCACTTTGGTCAGCGTAGACGCACTTGGTACCGGAGGGTATTCCGCGTCAATTCGCGCGCGGTGGTTGTCATCCAGGCTGTAGGAACTCACGGATGCTTCGCTGGGGTGAACTGGCTGCATCAGAACCGACCTGGGGTAAGACTCTTGGTACGACATCGTGCTCGAGTGCGAAGACTGGTTCGACGATGGGCAGATTCCGTAAGTAAATTTTGATTGTGATGAATATTGGTATAGCCAGGAACTTGCTCGCATCACTTCAGCTTCTTTATCACTGAAATTTTTATTATTTTTTTAGATTGTTTCTTCAAGAAATTTTTTTTGGTAAATATTTACAAGTGGGGTCAACAATGTTAATTTTCATTTTTTTGAACAAAATTTCTACTTGATTTTATTAAAATATTTTTTTTTTTGAAAAATGAACGATTAAAAAAAAAAAAGAAAGTTGGTTATCACAATTTTAACAAAATTTCAAAAAAATTTATAAATTTTTTTGAAAATTCTGATATTCAACTTTTTTTTTAATTGTTTGTTTTTTTATATACTTTTCAAAAACATCAAAAAAAGATAAAATTGAAATTTTATCCAAAAACATGAGAGCCAAAATTTTTTCAAACTTTTAAAGGCAAAAAAGCTATCAAAATCTTTATTTTGTTCTTTCACGACATTTTTTATCATAAATGCGCCTTTACAAACAAGCAGAATTTTAAAAAATGTTAATTTTTCACCTAGATATGGCCAAAAATAGGGTTGACCCCATTTGAAAATAATTACCAAATATTTTTTGGTAAAAATAAAATTTTCTAAAATTTTTTATTTCTTCTTTCATATCATATAAATATTTGGTAATTATTTACAACATGTTAAATTTGTTTTTTGATCAAATTGATCAATTTTTTTTAAATTGTTCTTTTAAAAAAAATATCAAAAAAAGATAGAAATTTTATCTAAAAAAATGAAAGCCAATTTATTTTCCAAATTTTAAAGGAAAAAAGCTATCAAAATCTTTATTTTTTTCTTTCAGTACATTTTTTATCAGAAATGCGCCATAAAAACAAGCAGAATCAAAAAAATGTTAATTTTTCACCTAGAAAGATATGGCAAAAAATACAGTAGACCTCACTTGTAAATAATTACCTTTTTTTTTCTGAAGAAGAAGAATATAATCTTCATAATTATCTCTTTTATTTTATAATTAAATTCACGGACAGTCTGTCGCGGAGATAAGTTTGCTATTATATATTATATATTGGATAAATATAGCACAAGATACAAGTAATAATATAATATATGTTTAAGAAATAATACTATAACAAACAAGTTTTGCAAAGTTAACTTTGACTTAGTTTAGTTTAGATTAGTTGTTACTTCTTCTTGTTCTTGTGATATTTTGAATGCAAGTTTAAGTTAAACAATAAGTTTGTTAAGTGTAGTTTGAGATGAAAGAGAAGACAAGTTATAGGTATTAGCACCTTGAGTAAAATGGTGAAGAAGAGTAAGAAGGAAGAGAGAAAAGGAATGGATTACCTCAGCACTTGGTTTGTGCATACGATAATAGGATGTTGGCATTCTTCAGAAGTTTCCTTTACTTGTAGAACACAGTGAATCCAAAACCATCTGCCTGAACGACTTTGTAGCCTCAGTAGCGCTGTGCTCGTTCTCTCTTGGTCTGACTGTATGACTGAATAAATCAAATCCATTAGACGTAAGCCGTATATATTAACTACTATATACACATGGTTAATCATAATCATGATATATAAATATAACGATAGCTTATTTCATTGCGCAATGTAGTTCATTTCACTTAGCTATTTACTTTAATATATTTTATATAGTGTTTTACCCGTTTGATGCTTGCAGTAAGCAGTCCTTATGCAATCCCAGTGAAGGAGGTTGTACCAAGAAACGCCAACTAACTCCGATCTGGTATATTCCAAGTGACTCTCGGCCCTAAGGTTTTTATTAAAGAAGAAATATTTTAAAATAAATAAAAAGAAAACGAGTTGAGATCGATAATGCCAACTATATCAGCTGAATTTATCGATAATCATCGTCTATTCATAAATTTTTAACTCCTTTAAACTAGCAATCTTTAAGAGAGTTAGAGAGTACTCAGGAAATTGAGTGCCATTTACTTAACTTCAGTCGATTTTATTTTTTATAAGCTAGTTTATAAGCGCTTTAACGTTTTGAGCTTTAGTTTACGCTGAAGATATTTTTAAGAAAACTTTTTTAAATATTCACTATTTTTATTTTTATTTTACTTACGTTTTGTCAATGTGTAAATATTTCATGTCCATTGAATGGATTGTTGTAAATATATTTGTCGCACCCTGTACAACGCTTTCACGGGTTTCAGGTAATACCACTGGAGTACATGAAGCCAAAAATACTGATTCGTTACGATTACATAGAGGTACAAATGGCAAATAATGACCTTCTACTAATACCACCTGGAAAAATTTAATTTTTTTTTTTAAATTATTTATTATTAATTTTAATTTTTAATTATTATAAATTTTAATTATTAATTGGATTTATATACCAAGGTTTAGCTTGATGGCAAATTGTACAATGTCTAAGTATAATTAATGAGTAATAACTAAAAAGTGTAATTATTGACAAATAATATTTAATGAATAATTATTCAATGAGACTCAAAGTTTTCTGTCTTGATGAATAATTATAAAGTACTATCGGAGATAGCGTATAACTCGGAAAATATTCAATTTTTTGCTTCAAAAATTTTACTGTATATTCTTAATATATGTATTAATATATCCTTAAATTTTTTAAACGATTCATAGAGGAGTTTTTTTTATTTTAATTTCCAAAAATCGCCTTTTTTATGCTGTCGCACTAGTTGTGCCCCTCAATTGACGCAAAAAACTGGTTATTTTCAATTATAAATATTTTTATTGAACTTTTTTATTTTAACTATAAAGTTCTATCAGTTATAAAGCTGTAATTCGATTTTAATTAGGAAATCTTTATAATTCTCGAAATAATTAATATTTAAAATATAAAAAAACTGCTCCTTTAAAACATGAAAAGATATCCTTTTAAAAATCAGCTTCTCATTTATTAATTGTATTCTTCATTGGCGCATTTTGTTTGTTTTCTTCTTTTTTTACCATGCGTTACTAAATGTATTGTAGTAATTATTTATTACGGCTATTTTTAATTGAACCTATTACATTCTAAGCTAGTGTGATACATGTATAATATAATCTTTTAATTGTTTTCTTTAACTCAACTCGAATGTACGAATTTATGTGCAATTGACTAGTTACACCATTTAATATTGCTGTAAGCTATGCTTGATGAGCAATTTATCTCAAATAAAATAATTATAATAAATTTAACAGATATTTAATAATTTTTTTTAACAAATAAATTATGGCAAAAAAAAAAATATAAAAAAAATCTTAAAAAATTAAAAATGCAATTTTTTAAAAATAATTTTTTGGAACAAATTTTTTTGTTGAAAAAAATTAAAAAATTGTATGACTGCTAACTTTAATGTCATAATAAAATAAAATAAAATAATGAATAATTAAATTGTAAATCTAAAATCTTTTTGACAAAAATTATTTCTTCTTTTATAAATTCTAGAGTAAAAAAATTGTTGTAAATAATAAAGTATGTAAAACAATTTATAAATATAAAAAATCAATAACTTGATACCTTGTAACTATTAATAATAATTTTTATAATAAGAAATGTATTTAAAAAGTAATATTTTCATTACTTTACTTTAAAATAATTGAATTATAATCAGGTTATAGGTACTTTCAGTCACCTGAAAAAAGTTGCTATTTAAGTCGGTAAAAACTTCAATGACGTATTTTTTTATTATTAATTAAATAATTGAATATATTTATACCTAATTATCGGATGAGATAATAATAAGTTAAATGAAAATAACAAAGCGGTTTAATTTCACTATTTTGATCTGTTACCAGAGCAATTATTAGTAACTTAGCGGTAAGCGACTACATGTTACAATTTGAAATTATAATTCAATGCCAATATTATAAAGCTGCTCGGACAAATAATAAATGTATTTGATAATCAATTAGTTAATTAATTAATTAATAAATAATTAGAGTAATGAAGTGATTGATTGATTAATTTAACCTTCTGGTCGCCAAATCGCAATTGACGTCGTGAATTTCTCGACACATTAATACGACACAGAAACAATCGTTTGTCGTTGCTGGACATTGGTCCACTTCTCGCCAATTGATTTTGGACTACCATATGATCCTGTTTGTCTATAACGTCATACACACTGTCTCCGTGAATCAGCAGATCTTCCATAGAGTGCCCGAGATACTCAGCCGCGTTTTCAGATATGTACAGCAGTTTTCCTTGGTGGGTCATCATCATAATAAATCCTGACATGGCCTAAAAGAAAATAAAAAAATTCAATAAAAAATTAGCTGATATCTGATAATTTTTTTTTTTTTATAAAATTATTTATAAAAAATTTGCACTTATTTTTTAATGTCTAGATAAAAGTATATATATTTTTATAAAAATTAAGTTAGCTGACATTTAAAAATTAAAAAAATTTTTTTTATTTTTAAAAAACTTTAAAGACTGTAAGTGCAATTTTAAAAAAATATTTTTTTGTTTTAATTTAATAATTTAATAAAAAAAATTCTAGACATAAAAATTTTTTTAAATTATTAGTGGAAATTTTTAAAAGTGTTTTTTTTATTGCAATTGATTTATTATAAAATTAAAAAAAAAAATTGACATCTGTCAGCTTATTTAAGTAAATATTTACTTAATTTAATATTTATTTATATTTATATTAATATTGATGTATATAGTTACAGCAAGTGCGAGACGGTAAGTTGACTTTTATCGTATACTTAAAAAAGGTTATAAAATAAGTACGTGATAAAAATTATTACCACAAACTATTTTAAAAATTTTAGCCTCGTAAAGCCTTGACTGTTTTCCGATATTAAAACTTTTTATTTTGTTTCAGTTTCTTTTATTAAAAATAAAAAAAAATATTGCATAATAAAACAAAGTTATTACTTTTGAAAATCCAATATTTGGCGTCGGGATATTTGACTCTGACGGACTGCTCTTCAAGGCTAAAAAAAAACAAATAAAGTTATAAATTAATAATAAATACTGTACAATCTTAAAGTTATGTTTTACTTTATCAAAGTTGAGTATCATCGCCAGCGGCCGGCTATTTAGCTCTGAGCTCAGAGCTGTTTGTTGAAAAAGGAGAAATAATGATAAACGTTTAACATTATGCTCGACAGTACTTTGAAATCTTGAGATTTTAAACTTGGGAATAGAGAATTATTAATCCAGGAAGATTTTAATTTATTTTTTTAGACTTGGGAAAATAAAAGTCAAATAAAAATTACATGTCAATCTTTGGGATCGTGAGAAGAAATATCATAAAGATTTTTAAATAAGTTTAAGAATAGTTTTATAAAAAAATCACAATGTTTAATTTTTTGATGTATTATTTATTTAAAAGAAGAAAATTTCTTCTTTATTTATATTTAATACAAAAAATTTTAATAATTAATTTTTAAAACTTTCATATTTGAATTTTAATAATTAATTCTCATAAATTTCAGATAGAGAATCAGATACTGTATAAAAAGTATTGAGTGCATTGAAGAGAAGAAGATAATCCCGGGGATGAAATTAACAAAACATATGACCAAGATAATTAAAATATTTAAAAATTTGTAAAACTTGAAGAATAAAGCATAATAAATCCAATAAAACTTTAATTTATTTCTTCAAAATTGAAAAAATAAATCAAATAAAATTTAGCAATATCTTCAATTTTTTAAATAAATTTTTATATAAAAATTACAACGTTAAATTTTTTATTAAATTTAAAAGAATAAAATTTCTTCTTTACTTATATTTAATACAAAAAATTTTAATAATAAACTTTTACAAATTTTATAATTGAAGGAAAAAAATTTCTTCTATATTTACATTAAATATATACAATTTTAATAAATAATTCTCACAAATTTCAGCCAGAAAATTATGATGTATAAAAAGTATTGAATTTATTGTAAAGAAGAAGAAAATCCCGAGGATGAAATTAACAAAATATATGACCAAGATAGTTAAAAAATTAAAAAATTGAAGAATAGAGTATAATAAATCCACGAAAATTTTAATTGATTTTTTCAAAATTGAAAAAATAAAATTTAAAAATATCTTCACATTTTTAAATAAATACAAATAATACTTTTATATAAAAATTATATACAATGTTCAATTTTTTATGTATTACATTTGAAAGAAGAAAATTTCTTCTTTATTTACATTTAATATAAACAATTTTAATAAATAATAATTCTCACAAATTTGAACCAGAAAATTATTAAGTATAAAAAGTATCGAATGTATTGAAGAGAAAAAGAGAAACCCGGGGATGAAATTAACAAAATGTGTGGCCAGGATGGTTAAAGTAAGTATGCGCTTAAAAAATGTTCCAACAACGGAATTTATCCGGTGAATCAAATAAAACGGTTTTCACATGAGTATGAGCTAAACGTTGGGATTTTCAGGTTGTATTGATGCAGTAAAGGGGATGTAGTTTCTGGGAGTACAGCATCCACATCCATAGGAGGAACCACCGGTGCTCGTACCCGTACTCGGTGTATTGGTACATAGTCTTCCTCTTGCATGATACATGCTCGAAGACACAGGAGGGAATGAGCGAGGAAAGGACAAAGAGACTGATGATACGAGAGAGAGTAGTAAAAGTATATAGATGAGAGTAGAGGTACTGGAGAAAAACACAGCCGTCTTTTACATACATTTATACATATAAATATGTGTGTACGTATAGTACATACGATGTACGATGTACCTGGATATATACGATATACCTGATGGAAGCGAAGGAGGAAGAAAGAGAGAGGACAAGGATGAGGTGAGGCGAGGAAAGAGGAAAGCACGGGCGCCCCGATGGGGGAGTATGGGTTACAGGAGCGTGAGAGTGTTGTTGCAGAGGCCGAGAGGTCAGCGGATCACCCGGAACTCGCGCTTAGACTTAACTTATACTCTCTGGTGCTGGGTGCTCGAGACGCCGAGTAGAGTTGAGACTCGAGGATACCAACCGTGCTGGTGAGTTTCTGTTCTGTTCTCTGCACGGACTTCACCCACGGCGTTCTCCCTTGCTCGGACTTTAAACTTTACCAGCACAACCTATTCCTTCTCTATATAATATAATACTATTTAATATATATGTGTGCACAGTCCTGCCTGGTCTCTCCTCCGGTCCACGGTCTCCAGTTCTTACTTCTTAGTCCGCAGTACCAAGTCCCCAGTCCCACTTCTTTTGTTACACTCATTTTTATTTCTTCCCGTTCCCGGGCTTCCATAAAGTACCCTCGACGCCCGTCAAATTAAATGTCTTCGTGTACTTACATTTTAATATATTAATATGTATGTTTCAGGGATTTGTCCTGGTTTAGGATGATTATTCTCTGGAAGAGAAGAAGGTGCTAGAGCTTGATGATAAGTTGGGAGTAGGTGACGATTTTTTTTAATTTCGTGAAGAATACTTTAATTGATGATTTTTCTTTATTAATTATTTTTTAAATTTCTAATGCATTTAAAATTTAATTTTGTAAAAATATAATTGCTTGAAAACTTGAAAATTCTGAAAATATTTCTTTGGGACGATTTTTTGGTGTCGTGAAGTAATACTTGGAAACTTTACTGAGATTGATGATTTTTCTTTTTTAATTACTTTTAAGAAAATTTTAGATCTTTTTAGAGTTAAAAACTATTAATTTAATTTCTTTATATTGTTATTTATTTTCTTTGAAATTTTTTAATAAATTTAAAATTAAATTTTATAGAAATATAATTGCTTAAAAAGTTTTAAAAATATTTTTTTGTCATGATTTTTCTTTATTATTTATTTTAAAAAATTTAGAATTAAAAACTATGAATTTAATTTTTTGATACTGTAATTAATTTTCTTTGAAATTTTTAATTCATATAAAATTCATATAAAATTATCATTCATTTTTACAGTTGGACTGAAATAAACATCTGATAATTCTAACAGATAATACTAAAAAATTTTTAAAAAACTATAAATGCAACTTTTTAAAATTATAAAAAATTTTTCATGTTTGAAATATGTAATGCATTAAAAAGAAATATATATTAACGGAACATGAATTTTATAACTTTAAATTTTATAAAAGTACAATTCCTTGTACTTGTTTGAAAACTTTAAAACTTTGTACGTATTTTTTCTAAAGTTTTAAAAGATTAACAGAAATTTGTTTGTTATTTTTACAATTTAGCAAAAACAAGATTTTTATATAAGAGAATTTTAAAATTGCAATTTCTTAAAATATTTTTTTAGCATTTATTTTTTAAATAAAATGAAGAAATTCTTTGATAATTTCCAAATTACATTTATAAATAATAATTAAAATTTTTCTCTTCCAGATTTGAAAAAAAATCAATTGCCAATTAAATAAATTTTAAATTGAGTATAATTATTAATTAAAAACAACAGAACAATTACTAAATAACAAGATCAATAATTAATCACCCAATTGAATTTTCAGACTCTCCACAAATTAAAACAAAAAGTTTCGAAACTCTAGACCGTGACGAAAAGTTCTTAATTTATACCCTATCTTAAATATTTATGTGCGAGAAAATGAACAAAAAATGCATGGAGAAATAAAAGAAAATTTTTATCAGCATCTATGATTTATTTACTCCTAATAACAGGTCCGAGGAAACTCATTAATGATTAATGACAATGATAATGTTGATGGTGAGCCAACAAAAAAAAAGAGTTCCGGGATATCTGTAATTTCAGTATCATCTCATCTCTTAAAAAGCGACTCGGAGGTTTGAGGACGAATGACGAAGAAATGAAGAGGTGACGGTACAGAGATTCTAAAGTTTACCAAGGGGGTCGAGCACCGCAGAGACGCGACCGCGACCGTTGCCGGGAGGTCCCAGGTTCGAATCTTGGAAAGACGTTCCGAGGAATGTCGGTATAATTTCAAAGTACCAGAGCCGCCGTATTATACTTATTCTCAATTCTCTTTCTGAACTATCAAACGACTGAAATATTACAACCAAGACAAGACTATACTACCGGCTTTCAGCAAGTCTGGTAAATATGACAACTAATTTCAAAACCTTATACTATTATCTACCACTTACTCTATTTCTTCTTTTCCAGTTTGTAGTTCAACTACAAACTCATCATAATTTAAATATTTCCTGATAAATACTGTGATGAAGATATATAAATATTGACTCACCCTGTTGAAAATAATTAGCTTTCCTCAGAAAAACACAAACAAGAGCCATCAGTTGCAACTGGGATAGTCGCTGTCTTGTAGAGGGTGGTAGAGGCAGAAGATCACGTAAATTAGCTATTTCGGCGTTTATCAGGTCCCTTCGTAGTTTGCTGGCGCCTTTCGTCGATTTGCTTGAATCTATCCTTCAAGAACACACCGTTTTGTCACTTAATATTTTATTGATTAAAAATCACTTCACAGGTAACAACCATAAACTTAAAAAATAGGAATAAACTTCACGAGATTAAAGTTAGCAGTCACTTGATAATTTTTTAACAAAAAAATTTCTTCCAAAAAATTAATTTAAAAAAATTGCATTTTTTATTTTTTAAAATTTCTACATGTTAATTTTTTTCCACTAATTTATTTCTTAAAAAAATTCTTAAATATCTGCTACTTTAATTTTCATAAAAACTTCTCTCAAAAAAACAAATAAATTTTTGCAGGTACACTGATAAAAAAATTGACTCAAGAGTCAAAATCTTGAACAATTTTTAAGAAAATAAATTTTTGAGTCAAAAAATTATTCTTAGTCCAGGAAAATTTTTTTGCTTCAAAAATTTCTTCTCTCGACTCCAGAAAATAATTTTCTTCAAAGTGGTTCAAGATTTTGGCTCTGAAGTTTAATTAATTAAATTTTTTTCCAGTGTAGCAATTATTAAAAATATAAACTTACCGATTGAACATATTTTTCCTTACAAAGGGATGACATTAGTGTTGTACTTGGGTACGACGTCGAGCGGGACATCCGGGTCGGCGGCAGGTACTCGCGAAACTGCAGCTGCAATCTAACATCCGGGTCATAACGCGCTACTACAGTGAACACGTGGATACTGGCCTGGCAAAGGCACGTTCTCTTGGTTTAGTTGCCTCAACTTAACTCTATCCTACTCGGTCCGCCTTACTGGTACTGCTATGCTCCCACCAGCAGAACAGACCAAGTGGTTTGTTGCCTACCGTGATTTTCGTGCTCTTTCTCCAGCCGTAGTCCTACCCGGTAACTTTACTGTAGCTATTTAATGCGCCAAACAACTTTACTCGGCCCGTGGTGGTAACATGAGGATCTGATGCAGGATGGAAGATCAACCGAGGAGGATTGAGGATGCTGGTGCTGGTGCTAGTGGTGGTGGTGGTGGTTGCTCTTCCTCGTCCCAAAGAGGCGCCCGCCAACTACCGAGGCTCATATTTACAAACAACCCAGCTAAGCGAGGAGAGACCAGAAAGGCTACCCTAATATCCAACCTGGAATTTGATTGTTGTGGACCCTCTGCTCGGGCTATTAAATTAAATCCGGGTCTGATATTTAAATTTGCTTGGTACCTATTTTAATTTAATATATACCGATCATAGGCACACTCCAGCTCATAATAATTATTGTGAAATTTTATCAATTTTTTTTCTTAATTATTATTATTATTATTATTATTATTATTTTTGATTATATTAAAAACAATATCGATATTTTATGATCTATAATGACAAAAAAATGATGTACAGAATTATAAGATAGAATTAACATGATTGTATTATGATGATAAATTTAGCAGATATTTAATAATTTTTAGAATTTTTTTTAACAAATAAATTATGGTAAAAAAAAATATAAAAAAATTGACATTGTAGAAATTTTGAAAAATTAAAAATACAATTTTTTAAAAATAATTTTTTGGAGCAAATTTTTTTGTTAAAAAAAATTAAAAAATTCAAAACAGACTATTTTTTTTTTTTTTTAGTCTCGAGTGAAAAAATGTCAGTTTTTGATGTTTTAAGAGCCCTCTCCCAAAAAACAGCTCAAAAAAAAAATTTTAAGAGGTTGCTCCAAATTTTTTTAAATTTCAAAAATTAAAATTTTTTTTTTTTATTTTTTTTCTCGTTACGTCATAATTTTATAGACCAAAAAAAAAGGTTTTCCTAAAAGTTTCAGTTCAAAATATGAATTTTAAAAGGTCGCTCATAATTTTTTTTTAATTTATTAGTGACTATTTAATTGGATTGGCATTTTTTGAAAAAATATTATGAGCGACCTTTCAAAATTTTAATATTGAATTGAAACTTTCAGGAACTTATTTTTTCTTGGTCTATAAAATTATGAAATTTAGAGCGACCTCTTAAAAATTTTTTTTCAAGCTGTCCTTTGGAGAGAGCTCTTAAAATATCAAAAACTAACATTTTTTCACTTGAGATTAAAAAAAAAAATCGGTTTTTTTTTCGCGCCACCCTAATATATATACAGGGCTAAATAAATAAATAAATGAATATTATTATTATTATTAATAATAATAATAATATCCTGAATAATGATAACAGTAAATTTAATTAAAATAATAATAGAGTAAGAGATAGAGATAGAGACTATTAGATGTCAATTCAAGTGTTGATAATCTAAATAGCAATCCTGGTATTTCTTTCACTTAAAACTCAAGCATCCTCTAGTCTCTGTGCTCACTCTTACTCAATACTTGCGCTAAGACTCCTATCCAAAGGCTCTTAGCTCTTGGCTTTTAGCTCTTGGGTCTTTGGTCTTGCATAAACTCTTTCTCTTTCTGTCCTCTGGTATTTTACCAGTAAAGCGCGGGTGGACATACCTATGTGCAAAAGTATTTGTGTAAATATATATTTATATACCTTTACTTTATATCAGTATGTTTGTTTGTGGGTATAGATGTATGTGGAGCCAGACTAACATCAACATCAACATCTCCTGTTGGGGGTATGGTACTTTACTTGGTCTTTCTGTTTATGTTCGGCTCCGTACTGACCCACTCACTCTTGGCTACCACCCGCTTTATGCCAAGCTCTGTTGCTCACTGTCCTGCTCCATGTAAGTGTAATATAAGGTACTGTAGTGGTTTCAAGGTTTTATCACGCGACACCAGTCGCTTTAGTTTACTATTATAAATAAATACTCAACTATTGCCAATTTTCACGTTGGATCTCGGGTATTAATGCTGCCTTTTTTCTTTTTTTTTTTAGCTACGGTTTTACGGTGTCAAAGGAGTGTGCTCGACAGATATTGATTACTTTGCTTTTTTTATCACTCGATCTTAGTTTACAAAAGCTCAGAGTTTTTTGGAAGATTTTTTTTTTTAATTTAGTTTAATTGGATTTTTTATTGAAGAATCTTTTCAAGTTTAAAACTTTTGTATGAAAATTTTTAGAGTAATTTTTAAAATTTAGCTTAACTCAATTTGGAGTTATTGATCTAAAAGTTTAAATAGCTGCTATTCCTAAACTAATCAATCGATTTAGCTCATTCCCGAACTTTGTTTCAAAGATTCGTTGCTAAGTTTCAAGGTTTAAGTATCACATATACATACAAATATCTAAACGAATCTTTTTCAAAGTTTATAAATGAATATAGATTAACTGCTTAATTATTAAAAAGTTTTCAAATCTTATAAATTTGTTTTATATTTACTAAAAAGTAACCTTCAGTAGATTATATTTTTTTTTTTTTGTCGTTTAATTTTATTTTATGACTCAGGCCATAAAAGGCTTAAATGTAAAACAAAGTGAGTCATCGGTAAAAAAAATAATTTTTAATCGGTTTTTAAAATTTTTAATATTATATTTAATTTTTTTAATTATAAAATCATTAATTAACATATTTATCACACCACTGTAATTATTTTAATACTAAACTTAGGCGACGTTTTTAATTTTTTGATTTTTTTTAATAATTAAATTAGAAAAAAATATTTTTTTTAAATAAAAAAAATTCTTTTTTAATTTTTAAATGTCTGCTAACTTAATTTTCATTATTATTTCACATATCTTCATAAATATTTCACATAATAAACAGTAACTTCAAATTATCTTTAACCTTGGTATGTTATTTTTATTATTATCAGAATTTTCATATCAGTGTGAGTAATTTTAAACAATAAATATTTTTAAATATTTATCATATGAAAATCAAGTTAGCCGGTATCTAAAAATTTTTGATTTTTTTTTATTAATTAAATTACAACTAAAAAGATATTTTTAAATAATTGCACTTGTAGTTTTTCAAGTTTTTTACATGTGAAATTTTTTTTTTAATTGTTTAATTGAAATTTCTTCAATAAAAAATTTCTAAAAATTTTGAAATGTCGGCTACCTTTATTTTCATTTTTTTTAATAAAAAAAAATAAGAAAAAAAAATTTAATTTGTAAAAAAACTTGAAAAATTTTTAAAAAATATTTTATTGTTCCAATTTAATAAATAAAAACTTTAGTATTATATTTATCACAGCTGATAAAATTATTTTTTTTTTTTAGGTGCGGGTAAAAAATTTTCAAATTTAATTTTTAAATTTTCGCGCCTGATTCCTATTAGCTGACAGCTGACCAATCCAAGACTATGAAATTTTAATTACGCCAGTGAACGGCAGAGTGAGCACGTGTTCCCTCAGATAGAGAAAGAAGAGCTCTTTTTTATTCTTTTTGATCTGCTACCGCAACGATGGTGGTGAGTCCATGTTATTTTTATAAAATAATCTATAAAAATCCATTGTTTTCTCATTAATCTGTTTGAATAATCAAAAAATTTTGACTCTACCCCCTAAATTAATGATTAAATTGCACGAAAAAGTCAATCTTTCGATGAATAATCTTTAAAAAAAATCGCGCTTGGTGAAATAATGACACTTGTGAGGTTAGCCATTGGTGTTGTGCCTCAGCATGTTCCACGTTAACCTGCAGTGAATTATTTATAAATTTAATTTATTAAATTTTAATCAATTGTTTTAATTTTGTGATCCAGGAAGCTAAAGTATCTGTCCCCGCCAAAAAGACCGGCATAAGGAAGGACAAAACCAAGAAAGAGCCCAAGGATGCGTCTAAAAATGTGATGAGAGAAGTCAGAATCCGCAAGCTCTGCCTGAACATCTGTGTCGGTGAATCTGGAGACAGACTGACCCGTGCTGCCAAGGTGTTGGAACAGTTGACCGGTCAACAGCCCGTTTTCTCAAAGGCCAGGTACACTGTACGTTCCTTCGGTATCCGAAGAAACGAAAAGATCGCTGTGCACTGCACTGTTCGTGGTGCCAAAGCTGAGGAAATCCTCGAGCGTGGTTTAAAGGTAATTGAGTTGATATTTTTTTTTAATTATAATGATACTAATTATCATTGTTATTTTAGTTATTATTGAGATACATTTGATAATTTTTTAACTAATAATTTATAGCAAGAAAAATTTATTTCAAAAACTTCATCTTAAAAAGCTATAAAAAATTATGAGTCCAATTTTATAATACTAAAGTTAGCCGACGTGTATAATTTTTTTTATTTATTTTTAATTTATCAGATTATAACTAAAAAATATTTTTAAAAAATTACACTTAGTTTTTTACAAATGAAATTATTTTTAAAAAATAACATTTTTAATTTCTAAATTAAATTTTTTTTCTACAATTTATTTGTCAAAAAAATATGAAAATGAAGTTAGCTGACATTTCAAAATTTTTAGAAATTTTTTTATCCAAAAAATTTCAATTAAACAATTAAAAAAAAAAATATCACTTGTTAAAAACTTGAAAAACTATAAGTGCAATTTTTTAAAAATATCTTTTTAGTTGTAATTTAATTAAAAAAAAAAAAAAAATCAAAAAATTTTAAACGTCTGCTAACTTCAGTGTCATAAAAAAATTGTCAAGTGTTGTTGGTCAATGTCAATAATAATAATAATAATAATAATAATAATAATAATTTTTTATATTTTTAATTTGTTTAATTGTTATCTAGGTACGTGAGTACGAGTTGAGAAAGGAAAACTTCTCAGGAACCGGTAACTTTGGTTTCGGTATCCAGGAACACATCGATCTTGGAATCAAGTACGATCCCAGTATCGGAATTTACGGTCTTGACTTCTACGTTGTCCTCGGTCGTCCCGGTATGTTTAAAAATTTTTAACAACTATTTCTTATTATAAATGAATTTAATGAATATTTAAAATTTTTAATTATGCACTTCTGGCATTGTGGACATCATTGGTTTTATATTTTGTCTACTATTTTTATTTATAAAAAAAATGTGCTAAATCAATTGCTTCATGTTTGCAACACATGCTCACTTATTTTACTGAGGGTGTTACTTAAATGTTGCAACAATTTATTAAAAATTTTTTTTTATATTTTAAAATAATTTTTAATAATAAAGAAAATTTATTAATTATTAAATTATTAAAAATTAATTATTTATTTATTTTATAGGCTTCAACGTCGCCCACAGAAGGAGAAAGACCGGAAAAGTTGGATTCCAACATCGTTTGACAAAAGAAGACGCGATGAAGTGGTTCCAGCAGAAATACGATGGTATAATTATAGCCAGCAAAAAGTAATTTACGGTCTGTGTGACTTTGATAAATAAAAAATAATTTACAACAATAAATAAAACAAAAAAAGAATATAAAAAAAAAAAACTCAAATTTTTTTTTGAATCATTTTATTTTATTATAATTATAATTAAATATTTTTGATAATTAAATTTATTATTTGGACAGTATCTATGCAGGCGTATAAAGTCATTCATTAAAAATAAAGTCGCTCGTACATATTTAATATTAATTACAATTATAAGTGAAGGATAAACTATCTTAATATAATTGATAAAGGCAGAATATTCCCTCAGTCTCAATCATAATTTATTCCTGTGTCCAGGAATGAACCACCAGACTCCACCAACTTTCGTTAAATATATTACTTTATATTTATTAATTTATTAATTCAAATATAAATAAATAAGATTTTTGCTTAATTTAGTCGGTGTTGCAATCGTAAGCAAACACAGCCGTGAAATATATTTTTAAAACTCAACATTAATTTTTAATTAGATGTTTTATTAAATAATTGAAAAACTTTAGATTTAAAGAGCTTGCAATTATAATTGATATTTGGAAATAACAATATTTATTTATAAAATATTTTTTAATTATAAATATTTAAAATTTCCCCCCAATATTTTTAAATATTTGGAATAATGCATAATAATTATTTTTAATCTAAAGCTAATTATCTACTGATATAAATTACAGCTAATCAATAGCTGATAGTTAAGTTATAAATCACAAACACTCTGATTTTCTTTTTACAATATTAATCTGATAATTAAAAACTTAATATTTGAAAATATATTAAAACATTTGATAAAAATAAAATTAACTAGTCTTCAATAAAATAGTGGTCAAATATTTAAAATAACTCAATACCGGCAGGCAAAGAATAATAATTGATAATGCAATAATAATAATAAATAAATAAATAAATAAAGGAAGAAACTTAAACTTATTACTTTCGACTTGACCCGTAAATCCGATCAATGTTGAGCTTCTCGTTGTCCGTAAACCCAAGAATACTCTCAATGGCATTCAAGTGCCCGTGATGGTTTTCTTTGTCAGTTAAAAAGTAGTAAATAGCGGATTTCAAAAATTGCAGAGTTATTTCTGGATCTATTGCTGCCTTGTTACGAGACTCGATTATTCTTCTGTACATAGCCTGGAAAAATAAACTTTATTTAATGTTTGTTACAAATATTTACCCGAGATAAATTTATCTACATTACAGAAAGAATATATTTGCAAACATGAGTAGTTGAAAGTGTTGGAATAATTTTTATTTTTAAATCCTATTTAAATTATTAAAAATAATTTTTTTTTAAATAAAATAAACATGAAATATTTTTAATGATCCTGAAATCAGACATTTAAAAATTTTTTGATTTATTTTTTTTATTTAAATTAAAACAAAAAAAAATATTTTTTTTGCAATAATAATAATAATAATTGTTAAAATTATTTATATTTATTAATATTTGTTATAATTATTATTTATAATAATAAAAATAATAATTATTATTATTATTATTATTGAGCATTTGTTATTTTAAGCTAGATAATAATAATAATAATAATAATAACATATATCCATTATTATTATTAGAAATAATAATTATAACAATTATTATTAATAATATTAATAAGAAAAATTGTCAAATGTCTGCTAATTAAATTTTGATTATATTTTAATAAAATATTTGAAAAATATAAAATAAATTTATATATTTTGTAATATAACTCGTAATATGCTGCATAACATCTTCATCTACTCACGCACTTAATAACAAAAAGAAACAAAATAAAAGAGGCTGTTTCAATCCAGGAATTGTCGTACATGCTTACGCTAAAATGTTATTAAAATTACAATAAGGAATTTGGTGCGATAGTGAATAGCGAACGTGCACGCGATTTAGTATATAATACTAATACGAGGTAACTGCAAATAAAATAAAAAAAAAAAAAAAAAAAAAAAGCTGTAAAATATAAAACAAAAGTATAAATTGGCTCTGAAAAAATTCACGTAGCGGACGTCCCGTAAATACAGACCTTACGTGTGGCAAGTACCCAAAGAGAAACAGCCTCCTGCGCACTTAGTAAACATTGGCTACGAGCGACTGAAATGTGAAGTTGTGGCAAGTAGTTTGTACCCTGGAATGCAAGCCGCGACAAAAAGTGGCAAATTGTTAGTAAAGACAATGCTGAGGGAGTTAATTCAAATAAGGGCTCGTGGTTAGTGGGCGAGATTGTGAAAGCAAGGACTAAGTAAAAAAAAAAAGAGTACGAGGATCTGTCTCTCCCTTTATTCTATCTATCTCTATCTTAATATTTTCAATGTTATTATTTTTTTGATTATTATTATCAAATAAAATAATCGTTGGCTCTCTATTAAATAACTATTTACTTGCCATTAGCCTCAGTAATCTTACGTATTAAAAAGTACCCAACGAACCACTGAAATGTTAGTAAAAAAAATAATTTATTTCACCTTGACGTTCTCCAGCTCCGCTTGAGTAACGCTCAATTGTTGCAACAATTCGGTGACAGTGACATTTGGCGTCTCTGGTGCTTGCTCCGAAGCCTGAAAGCAATTCATATGTTTAAATCTTATTCAGCTTGAAGGTAAATGTAAAAAGCTCAGCATGCCATGGATGTCTGGCTCGGGGCTAAGCGAGCAATAAAGAAAGAGTCTGGGGCTCTTACTGAGTACATACCGGATCATTTAGCTCAAGTCTTGCAGCCTCTTGACCCTTGGCATACATTTTCAGGTACATTTGCTTGTTCCTCTCTTCTTGCTCCTCGAACAATGCCTTTTGTTCCTCGAGTTGTGTCTTGGTACGCTCAAGCTCCGCTTCTAAATCTCGTACCTTCACCTCGGCGGTATCCAAGGACGGACGTAACTCGCAGTAACGAGTGTTTACTTCAGAAAGCTGATTCAGTAGACTCTCCACCTAATTTTTATATCAATTTTTTTTTAGTATAAAGAATAAATTAATAAAAACTAGATAATTAAAACTATATTTGTCATTGTTTGTAATTATCTTAATATGTTACATAACTTGGATTTAATTAATTAAAATTTATATAATTCTGGTATATATAGATGACACTGATATTGAGAGACATATAATAATTTTTAAAATTTTTTTTATAAATAAACTAGCAACCTTGCAGTCACTATATGACTGCCGTGACTTGTGAACTATAAAAAAAAAAATAAAATTTTGCCTTAATAAATAATGACTTGTTCAATTGCACTGTACTTTCTTAAATATTGACATTTTTCAAAATATAAGCTCATCTTGATGTTACACTCATCAAAAGCTTTCATTTGAGTACCCACATGCATTTTTGATATATTTTGCATATATACATATATATAATATACATAAATATATAAAATATATGAAAAATTGATGTGGGTACTCAAATGAAAGGTCTTGATGAGTATAACATCGGGGTGAGCTTATATCTTTAAAAATGTCAATAGTTCTCAAGATTCAAGGTCATTTCTTAATTATGTTAAATTGCACTTTACTTTCTTAAATATTGACATTTTTAAAGATATAAGCTCATTCTGATGTCATACTCATCAAGAGCTTTCATTTGAGTACCCACATGCATTTTTGATATATTTTGCATATATATATATATATATAATATACATAAATATATAAAATATATGAAAAATTGATGTGGGTACTCAAATGAAAGGTCTTGATGAGTATAGCATCGGTATGAGCTTATATCTTTAAAAATGTCAATAGTTCACAAGATACAAGGTCATTTCTTAATTATAAAATTAAGAATAAAATTACAAGTGTCTATAACTAAGCCGGTATCAATAACTGGGTTTTTTACTTAGATTAAAAAAAAAAAATCTAAAAATTGTCTGCTAATTTCAGTTTCATTTATATAGAATCAAACAATTATTAAAAAAATTTTCTAGCTCTGCAAAAATTATTAATTATTTATAAGTATCTTGGTCATTGACCTATGACTCTTGGGTTTTAATAAAGAAAAATCTAATTATTTAATCTTGTAAAAACCTTATATTTATATAGCCGATTGGCGTTTATTCTATTTGAAATAAATAAATAAATAAATAAAAATAAAATTATCTTTTTTTTTTAATATTGAGATAATAAAAAAAAAAAATAAAAACCTTATCATTGTGCTTTTCTTTAAGCTCTTGAAGCTCATCGATATGTCTTCGGTGCATTTCTTCAATCCTCTGTTCATAAAGATCAACAATTTTCTTCCTTTCTTCATCAGACAGCGTCTTGGGGTTATTGCTCCGAGATAAAGCGACACTTTTAGTATCTCTGGCGCCGACAGTTCCGTCGACCGTTGAAGCACCAAGAACAGAATCCTTTGAATGAATAGAGTCATCTTCAAAATGTCCCGAGTCAGCTAATGAGACAAGACACTCTCCGAATTCATTAACACTATTATTAGTCGTAGGAGTACTATCAGCATTATTATTATTAGTATTATTATTACTATTATTAGAATTATCAGTAGCTAGATGAGATTTATCAGGCGTACATGGACTTTGAATCTCAGAATTAGAACTTTCTTCAGGAAGATCTTTGCAGGGTGATTCTGGTGAGAAAGGATTATTCTCACGGACGGTTAATGCCTCACTGCTGTCCGTTCTCTCATCGGGACTGTTGAGCGAGGCTTTGTAGAGTCTTAGCTCAACGACTTCCTTAGTCAGTCTCAGTATCTCTCGGTCCTTCTCCTCAACCTCCTTTCTCGCTTCGCTCAACAAGCTCTGCAATTTACGCACTTGTCTGGCGGCTCGTTGCGTTGGTGTGAGATACTGTTCGGTATCTCCATTGTAATTTGAACAGTGAACAACATACTTGCGCGAGCGTCCAGACCAGGTGGTACCATTAAGGGCAAAGTGTGCGTGATCACAGGCACTTGCTGTGCTGTAAGCGCTACCATAACTCTTCACACTGTCAACATCACTGTCGTCCCCAGCTCTTGATGATAATAAACTCTCCCCAGTTCCGCTTATGTTCAGCGCCGCGTGTCCCAAACGCGGCCTTGCTGGTGTCAGTGAGAGACTCTGCAAATATTATTTAACATTAACATTTGCAATTTTTATTAGACTGTAGTGATTTGTTAACTATAATTAAATGAAATTTTGCTTTATTAAATAATGATTTTTGTAAAATTGCTCTGTATTTTCTTAAATATTGACATTTTTAAAGATATAAGCTCATTTCGATGTTACTCTCATCAAGAGCTTTCATTTGAGTACCCACATGCATTTTCATATATTTTTCATATATACATATATATAATATATATAAATATATAAAATATATGAAAAATTAATGTGGGTACTCAAATGAAAGGTCTTGATGAGTGTAACATCGGGATGAGATTATATCTTTAAAAATATTAATAGTTCACAAGATACAAGGTCATTTCTTAATTATTTTAAATTGCACTGTACTTTCTTAACTATTGACATTTTTACAGATATAAGCTCATCTTGATGTTACACTCATCAAGAGCTTTCATTTGAGTACCCACATGCATTTTCATATATTTTTCATATATACATATATATAATATATATAAATATATGAAAAATTGATGTGGGTAACATCAAGATGAGCTTATATCTGTAAAAATGTCAATAGTTCACAAGATATAAGATCATTTTATATCACCATTAATTATTAATTATTAATTTTTGAAATTAAGGCAAACATCTTGGCCATATTTTACATAAATTAAAATAAAAATTAAAACTTTTTAATTAAATAAAAAAATTCTCTAAATTCACGCCACTAAAACTCACAGAAGGACAACTGCGTGAGTTTCGTTCACCCCGCGAATCCGACCGAAGACCCTTCGACATCTGGGTATTGAATACCACCGATAAAATATACAAAATAATAATATTCCATTAGATACAAGAGGTAGTCTCTGGTTGTTTATTTATTTAAAACATGTCTGGCTTCTTATCAACTTATTTAATTAATATATATTATAAATTAGAGTTGAACGGAGCTTAGTAAACACTGACGGTGATATATGAAGCTATTACTCGGACGTACTCTACGATAAACTCCACTAAAAGAATTAAGAAACACGACATTAACACACGGTGAATCTGCGCCGACGCGCAAATTACGAAAGGTCAGGGTGTCGCTACAACCTCTCCAGGAAGTGGCTAGGAAAATTGGAGCAAATCGTGAGGGTGCGCGCCAGGTCTTGTCTTTTGTCTTTAAAAAAGGTACGAGTCAACCGAATAATTTATCTAAAATAAACAAATAAAATAAATATCTGAGATGGAATAAAACAAAAATAAATAAATAATTGGTACTGTTATTGACGTTTAGATTTTATCAATATCTAAGAATTATATATCATTTTTTTATTTAAACTATAATTGTCTGCAGGCAACAGGTACGCAGGATCCTCGAGCAGAAATTTTATCGATCCCAGAGTAACTTCTTATCTTACTTGAAATATAATAATACTGAAGTTAACACACATCTTAAAATTTTTTAGAATTTTATAATAATTAATTTATAAAAAAAAATTTTACATAGAAATTAAAAAAAAAATAATCATAAAGTTAGTCAACATTTTTGATTTTTTTATTTTGATTAATTTATTAAATTATTAATAAAAAATATTTTTAAAAAAATGCACTTATAGTTTTTGAAGTTTTTAACAAATAAAAAATTGATTTTTTTTATTTTTTAGTTATAATTTTTTAATAAAAAAAAATCTTAAAAATTTTTAGATGTCGGCTAAACTTTATTTTCATTTAAAAAAATTAGTGTGAATTTTTAAAAATATTTTTTTCATCATAATTAATTTGTTAGAAAAATTTCAAAAATTTTTACAAATCTGCTGATTTCAGTGTCATAAAATATAACACCGTTTTAAAACGTGTGGTAGTAACTCTTGTCGATAAATTTTTGTTATCAGGTCAGACTATTTTAAAAGCAAAAAAAATGATACTGAAAATCGCAGACATTTAAAAATTTTTTAAATTTTTATAAAAAATCAATAATTATAAGAAAAAATATTTTTTTTTAATCCGCACAATTAATTTTTTAAATTTTTTACATGTGAAATATTTTTTAAGAAAAATTAATTGCAATAAAAATCTAAAAAATTGTTAAATATACTGTTATATTAATAAAAAGATCTTGAGGAGAAAATTATCTACGTGAAGAAATTAAAATTTTGTAGTTAAAAAAATAAAAATTAATGCGTGAAATTAAATTTAATTAGATTGGAGTAAGTAAGTAATTAAATAAATAAAACTTACAAGAGAGCGGTGTCGAGGTGAGTCCAGACCATTCTCCGTGATTGCTGGGAAGATTTCCGTCTGGTGCGAGATATGATTGTGTCGATGGTAATGGTGTTGATTGTGATGATGAGACAAGGAACCTGGACCCAGTGAACCTGTCGTGCGTATGTTTTGCACGCGCTCTCCACGTACGCGCATGCTCGCTGAGCGACGCAGAGCCGTCGGAGATGGCCGAGGTATGCGCGAATCAGCATTGCTATTCCCGGATCCGGCCCCAGGAGACATTGACGAGTTTAATGTGCTGTGGGCCTCCGGTGTTCCTGCACCTAGAGGCGAGTTCCCGTTGACTCCCATTTGTCTCGGGGACGATGGCTGTGACGTTGGTGACGTCATTGGGGCGCGAGTTCCTGAAGTCGGGCTTTCACTTTGATTTAATCTCAGCGATGAAGGTGCTCTTTCACTTCTTTGTTGCACCATTCTCTTTATCTGAAATTATAATTTAGTAATTTAGTGGGTTAATAGATATTAGAAAATTTATTTATTTTTTATTATGTGAATTGTATTTAAAATGCTGACAAAGAGAATTTTTTTATCATAAATTAATTTTTAATTAAATGTGAAATTGAACTGATTTTAATTTAATTTTATGAGTATAAATAATAACCCAGTTTTTTTTTTTTTATAGTCATTCATAAATTTTATGAAACTGAAGTTAGCTGATGTCTATCATTTTTTTTTACTTTTACAATTAAATAAATTACTACGAAAAAAATAAAAATTACTAGCAAACCTTGGACCTTTCATTTGAGTACCCACATCAATTTTTCATATATTTTATATATTTATATATATTAAATATTATATATATTTATGAAAAATATATCAAAAATGCATGTGGGTACTTAAATGAAAGCTCTTGATGAGTGTAACATCGAGATGAGCTTAATCTTTAAAAAAGGTCAGTAATTAAGAAAGTACAGTGTAATTTAACAAATATCTTATGAACTATTGACATTCTTAAAGATATAAGCTCATTCCGATGATACGCTCATCAAAACCTTTCATTTGAGTACCTACATCAATTTTTCATATATTTTAGATATTTATATATATTATATATATGTATATATGAAAAATATATTAAACATGCATGTGGGTATTCAAATGAAAGCTCTTGATGAGTGTCAAATCGGGATGAGCTTATATCTTGAAAAATGTCAATAATTAAGAAATGACATTGTATCTTGTGAACTATTGACTTTTTTAAAGATATAAGCTCATCTTGATGTTACTCTCATCAAGAGCTTTTATTTGAGTACCTATATACATTTTTGATATATTTTTCATATATAATATATATAAATATATAAAATATATGGAAAATTGATGTGGGTATTCAAATTAAAGATCTTGATGAGTGTAACATCAGGATGAGCTTATATTTTTAAAAATGTCAATAGTTTACAAGATACAAGGTCATTTCTTAATTATGCACAACTTCAGGTTCAGACCTATCCAACGAATTTAAATTTTATCATATTTATGTTATTCAATAAAATTTAATAAAAAATGAAAATTTTTAAAATTATCTGAAATAAATTTCTTTAATTTCGCACCAAGTCTTTAAATTGATCTAAATAGCTTGCGTGTAAAATAATGTCTTAACAATTTATTAATCTGTGTTAATTTCTTAGCGGATACTGCTAACAAAAAACTAGAATTACAAGCGTAACTCGAGATCGAGAATACGAAACGTAGGGTCGAGGACATATTGATTAATGTTATGTATAATTTTATATTATGTCAGGTCACTTTCCTTCTCCTTCAAATTACTATATCGCAATGTAATGTTTTTTAGCTGTTGTTACATCACGCAAATATACATTATTGAAATATCAAGTGAAAGTTTAATAAATATAAAGTATTATCAGCCAGCATAAATCATCGAATTTAAATACCCGTAAAATAAAATAATGTCGTCAGTGTAAATACTCACAAATAATTTCAGTGTTAATTTTTTTACAACACAAGATTGTAAACTATACTTTATCAAGTATATTTTATCAACAAGTAAGTTGATAATAAAAAGACAGTCTAGATAAACAAGATGATGAAAAACAACAGACTGCAGCGGATTGATTCGTGAATATTGGATGTATTTTTAGCTTGCTTGCATTATATAGTACAATCCGATCGATTGTACATTCTGGTATCGTAAAAAAACTCATTATTATTTATCATAATTTTCCATCACTTGCTAATTCTTTAATGATAATTATAATGATATTTTAATGATAATGACAGTCTTCTTTTTTAAAGCTATTATTTATCCGAATTAGAGTAAGCTAAAAAAATTAAAAATAAATTATTCGCTTCAGACTAATGACTTTTTAATGTTATCATTATCTGTCTGTCTTATATTTTGTTAATAATAATAATAATAATAATTTTAATATTTATTTTTTCTAAAATTTTTGTATTAGACTAGACAGCTAATAAACTAAAAAATATAAAATAATAATAATAATAATAATAATAATAATAAATAATTTATTGTTTAGCAGTAGCTACTTTAAAAGTTTTTTTACAATAGTTTTTTTTTGTAACCGTAAGAGTTTAAAAAAACAATTGAAAATTAATATAAAAAAAAAAAAAAATTAAATGAGATTGAGTGACTTTACAAAATATAAGATAGACAGAAGACAGATAGACTGTCACATAATAGACGCGTGATACTCACTTGTCACGTGATTCTGAATTAGCCGGCCTTCTGCATTCTGCGAATAAAAATACAGGTGATTATCTCCCCGATATTTATGTAGATTTAAATCAGCTGTCCTGAACTTGGCGGTAAATTATTAATATTTAATCAACAAGCCACATTAATTTCACTAACACATGGAACAAGTGTATATAGTTAATAAATTAGACTGATTAGGTGGAGCGTTAATGGTTAATAGTCAAATTGCAGGGTAAGGTTGTATATGTACCACTTGTGCTATTTAACAACTCGCTCGCGAATCGTCAACCAACACGTCAATTTTAAAATACATATATTTGCACATGGATGGGCAAGTAAACGTCAATCGCAGGCCACGACGCGGTTCTAACTGATGACGAAAGCAAAATTATTACAATTCTGCGGGAAAAAAACACGATTGGATGTTAAATGCGTGGTTGGGGAGGAACGACCAGTTTATGACAACTGATTTTCTCTGTAGCGCGCTCTTGTGGTAGCTTGTCTCGAGAGTGTACGACATTTGTCCGAAACGAGATTATAACTTATTTTTTACCGATTGACATGGTAACTTGCCGGTCATTGATAAAAAAGTATTCTTACTTTTCATCAGTAAGACTCAAAATTTTAGCTGCTAAATGGCGGGAAATTCATTATTAAAAAAAAAATTTTAGACATTTTAATAAATACAAATACACTTTATTGTTTTGGTTTGTTAATAATAATAATTGTATTCATAAGGTTTTTTTTTTGTTTTAGTTACATTAATGGAAATTAAACAGTTGGGTAATGCAGCCTATGAATCTCTCATCACTTGTCTCTCGGGTGGAGTGTTTTCGTAGCCCTGAGAAGGGTTAATATTTTCAGGATGACGTTTGTAAATACCCTCGTAAAAGTCGGCGGCAATTTTCTTTTTTCGTGGTGTTTGGTGAGGAGTTTCTTTTGATCTGTCCTTCAGAGATTTTTGGCGAGCACTTACTCGACTTACAGCCGCTTTCAATGCTGCTGACATTGCGTCGGCATAATTCTTGATTGTCACTCCAGGAAACATGGATCTGAAAATATCTGAAAAGTAAATAATATTAATAGAATAAAAAATCAACTATTTATTGAAGGTAAGATAGTTAGAACTATGCATGAAGAGAATTTTTTTTTTTTGTTAAAAAATATTGAAAAACCTACGGCATAATTCGTGGTCAAGTCTTGTCCCCAATAACGTTATTTTTTTAGTCTGAATTTCTGTTGAATAGTTCATTTTAGTGAGAAGTTCCTCGGTGAAGAGAATGTCATCTTTTAATATGCATGATCTACTTTTTATTTTTTTTTAAATTATTCAATTGTTTTTCTTTTTTTTTAAATAAATTGCCAGTCCTTTTCAACAGCATTGTACTGGCAATATTTAACTGTAAATATCCGACAAAAAATTACTGAGTAAGAATTAAAGGTAAAAAAAATCAGAAATCGAAGAGTATTTTGTCTCCGATTTTCCAGTAATTTTTTACTGTCAACAGTTTACCAGTAAATTGCTTTTTATTTCCGGCAGTAAATTTATAGTAATTTACTGTTCGAATTCATTGCTAGTTGTCGCCAAGTGCTACAATCGTTCAACTTGCCAGTAATTTACCGTCACCTTGGCGGTAATATTGTACTAAGTAAATTTTTGTTCAGTAAATATGTAATAAATAATGAAAATTAATTTAGAAGATATTTAATAATTTTTAGAATTTTTTCAAAAAATAAATCATGGAAAAAAAAATTTACATGTGGAAATTTGAAAAAATCATAAATGCAATTTTTTAAAAATAATTTCTCAGAAAAACTTTATTTGTTAAATAAAATAAAAAAATTATCAAGTGACTGTTAACTTTAATGTCATAAATTAATTTAGCAGATATTTAAATGACATTAAAGTTAGCAGTCACTCAACAATTTTTTAATTTTGTTTATCAAAAAAATTTGTTCCAAAAAATTATTTTTAAAAAATTACATTTTTTATTTTTTAAAATTTTTACATGTCAATTTTTTTTGTTAAATTTTTAAAATTATTCAATATATGCTAAATTAATTTTTATAATATTTGATAATTTTAAAAACTTTTGTAACAAATAATTTATAGTAAAAAAAAATTAACATGTAGAAATTAAAAAAAATACAATTTTTTAAAAATAATTTTTCAGAAAAAAATTTAATTGTTAAAAAAAATTAATTAATTGTCAAGTAACAGCTAAATTTAATCTCATTAAAAAAAATGAAAATCAGAAAATCTTAAATTTTTATTAATTAAAATAAATATTGTTTTAAAAACTAATTTATTGATTACTTTCTTGACTTAATATCTTAATAAGATCAAGCAATTTCCGTCTTTTATCTATACCTAAAGATTTAACTTTAGAAAAATTACAAGTTTCAACACTTGGACTAGATTTCAAGTGCTCCAAAATAGCATCCGTGAAACAAAGTACAAAAATACCACAGTCATAACCATTGTCCTGCTGCGGACATTGAACATTTTTAAATCTCGCAGCCTCGTCACCGTGCAACTGCTTTGATATTTTAAGCCCGAACGAACGAGCCTCAGAATTATTATTTCCATGAGCAGAGTCAAAGTGAAAACAAGTTTTTTCAGCTTTAGAATACACCAGCAAGCTCCAGTGGGACCCACCAGCTGCATCAGAGTTCTTGCAATTGTTCAGAGGGAAGAAAATGTAATCCATGTCTGTGGAAATGAAGGGGAACTCCTGGTCTGTCATCTTCAGCAGCTGAGTTACTTCAGGACTAAATAATTTTATATTTTTTGAGTTATCGTTAGATTCAAGAGTTTGCTCTAGGTATTCGAAGTAGAATCCAATAATTGCATCATTGAGCCAATGTGAATTTTTTAATAAAAATACGTCGCTGTTTCTCAGCAAGCTGTCGTGATAGCTTAATACTATTTTGTCTTGTTTAGACATTTTTAGTCTAATCTGAAAAAATATAATTATTATTATCATTGTTAAATATTAAATAAGTAATTTAGCAGATATTTTATAATTTTTGTAATAAATAAATGGTGACAAAAAAAAAAAATGACGTAGAAATTTTAAAAAATTAAAAATACAAATTTTTAAAAATAATTTTTTGGAACAAATTAAAAAAATTGTCAAGTGACAGCTAAATTTAATGTCCTAAATATTAAATACAAAAAATGCTGTTTTAAATTTTTTTTTATATTTTTCATTAATTAAATTAGAAATAAAAAAACATTTTTTTTAAAAATACGCTTATATTTTTTTAAAATTCTTATTAGATTTTTTTAATAAAAAAAATCATAAATAATTTTTTATTTTATTTTTATTATCGAAATTAATTTTATTAAAAAATTCAAGTTGTTACTCTTTTTTTATTATCAAAAATTATTTTAATTCTGGTGTTTATTTAATTACAAACCTTGTTGAAAAAAAAAAAATTGTAAACAAACACACTGGTGGAATGCAAAAAAATGGAGACTACAAAAAAAAAGAAAATAAAAGTGCCATGTTGATTATTGATAAATAGGATTTCTGCATTACTAACAATTCAACGACGTCAGAATAAGTTAGTTTCACAGTGAGTCGTCAAACTTGTAACCTTAGCCTACTGGTATATAGTTAAATATACTCAACCAAACATCATCCTGCCGGAATATTAAAAAAACGGTCGAGTCATTTTGTTAAAAAAATTATTTTGATAAAAAGTTTATTACTTAAATCACTAAAATGTCAGCTAGGTACGATAGAGCAATTACAGTATTTTCTCCTGATGGGCATTTATTGCAAGTCGAGTATGCTCAGGAAGCTGTGAGAAAAGGGTCCACTGCCGTGAGTTTCATTTATATGGACAACCTAACCTTATAATTAATATAACAATTAATATAAATTTATATTTGTGTTTATTTACTGAAATGTATTTGTTGATAAATTAAAATATTAATGTTTTATTTTTTAATCTAGGTCGGAGTACGCGGTAACGATGTAGTTGTCCTGGGTGTTGAGAAAAAGTCAGTTGCTAAATTACAGGAGGAACGTACTGTTAGGAAAATTTGTCTTCTTGACGATCATGTTGTTATGGCTTTTGCTGGTTAGTATTTTATATCAATTTATTTTATTAATTTTTTTTGACAAACAAATTTGTTCCAAAAAAATTATTTTTAAAAAATTGCATTTTTTATTGTGTAAAATTTCTACTTGAATTTTTTTGACATAATTTAATTGATACAAAAATTATTAAATATCTGTTAAATTAATTTTTATTTTTATAATTTAGCAATTAATAATGAGTAATTAAATTGACAGGTTTGACTGCGGATGCCAGAGTACTGATAAACCGTGCTCAAATAGAATGTCAAAGTCACAAATTGACTGTTGAAGATGCTGTCGCAATAGAGTATATAACTCGTCATATTGCTGGACTCAAACAAAAGTACACTCAGAGCAACGGACGTAGACCGTTTGGAATATCATGCTTAATAGCTGGGTTTGATTATGATGGAAGCCCGCATTTATTCCAAACAGAACCTTCAGGCATTTATCACGAGTGGAAGGTAAAAATTAATTATTTTTCAATTTTTATATTAAAATTTTATTTATTTATTAGATAATAACTTGTTAAATTGCACTGTACTTTTTTAACTATTGACATTTTTAAAGTTATAAGCTCATCTCGGTGTTACACTCATCAAGAGCTTTCATTTGAGTACCCACATGCATTTTTATATATTTTTCATAAATACATATATATATAATATATATATAAATATATAAAATATATGAAAAATTGATGTGGGTACTCAAATGAAAGGTCTTAATGAGTGTAACATCGGGATGAGCTTATATCTTTAAAAATGTCAATAGTTTACAAGATACAAGGTCATTTCTTAATTATGTTAAATTGCACTGTACTTTTTTAAATATTGACATTTTTAAAGGTATAAGCTCATTTTGATGTTACACTCATCAAGAGCTTTCATTTGAGTACCCACATGCATTTTTGATATATTTTTCATATATACATATATATATATATATATATATATAATATATATAAATATATGAAAAATTGATGTGGGTACTCAAATGAAAGGTCTTGATGAGTGTAATGTCAAGGTGAGCTTAGATCTTTAAAAATGTCAATAGTTCATAAGATACAAGGTAGTTTCTTAATTATTATGATAATTAATTATACACATTATTTTTCTAGGCCAACGCAACTGGACGTGCAGCTAAGACTGTTAAAGAATTTCTAGAAAAATACTACACACCAGAAGAAGTAGCCACCGAGCGAGGTTCAATAAAACTCGCCATCAGAGCACTTCTTGAAGTAGTAACGTCCGGTCAAAAGAACCTGGAGATTGCTATCATGCGTCGTAATGAGCCGATGCAAATGCTTGACTCAGACACGATAGGCGAGTACGTAACTGAAATAGAAAAGGAGAAGGAAGCCGAAGCCGAGAAGAAAAAACAAAAAAAGTGATCGAGTGATGTTATTTTGATTATTTTATATATTTCTCATTCATAAATAATAATAATAATAATGATAATGTATTATTCGGCATTGCTGGATAAATTTACTTAACTTGTCTTCTTTAATCCTTTCCTCCTTAATTATTTTTATTTATAAAATTATTTAGCTAGTTTTTATTTATTAATTAATTATTAATACGGCGGTGTGTAGTCCGGTGATAAACATTTTCCTCGATGATTAAATATTTGGAATGAAGCCAAGTTTCTCGTTGTTTCCCAAGTCTTGCACTCTAGGTCGACAACTGCGCGAATTTCTTTAAAGTCTCCAGCGATGTGTAACACTCCGTACATTACAATAAACAAACTAATTATTCCTTGGATCAATATCTAACAATAAAAAAAGTGACGTGTTAAAATTTACTAGTTTTTATAATTTTTAATTGTAATTAATTAAAATAAAATTCTTACATCAATCGGCAGTGTTGTGAATTCTTGCTCCGTTATTCTGAGGTAAGATCGATCTGAAATAATATTTTAATTAATGTTTGTCATTTAATTAAATGATTATTTTATTGGTATTAATAAGAATTGGAGTTTAATAAAAATTGCTTACGTTGAGCAGCAGAATAAGCAGCGTGAAGTATTGAAATAAATCCAATCCATGTTATAAACTTGTGTGTTGACGTAGCAGGCATTTTACTCAGTCAATTTAATTAGCAAATTTATTTGTTAATATTGATGGATATTTACAATGACCTGGAATTATAGCTGGGAGGTTAAATAATAAACACGACAGCTTGACAACAATGAAAATTATTTTATTTTGGAGTTGGTAGTCAAGATAGTAGCGGCATCTGTCAATTTTTGTGATACTGAAGTTAGCCGTCAGCTGTCAATTTAAAAAATTTTTTATAAAAATTCAGTTAGTAGACTTTTAAAAATTTTTAGAATTTTTTTTTATTGATAAAATTATTACAAAAAAATTAAAAAAAAAATTTCACTTGTAAAAAACTTGAAAAACTGTAAGTGCAATTTTCAAAAAATATTTTTTTGTTTTAATTTAATTATCAAAAAACAATCAAAAAATTAACAATGTTGGCTAACTTCAATAATATAATTTTTTAACAAATCAATTACAATAAAAAAATTCTTTTAAATATTCTCACTTATAATTTTTACTGATTTTCACATGTGGAACTTTTTAATAAAATTTTTTTATAATAATTTAATTGGTATAAAATTAAAAAAAAATTAAAATCTGACAACTTCAGTGTTATAAATTTTCTGGAGCTTTATCCTTTTATTTAATTGGTTGAAAATATTCACGCGTTAAACTCACTGTCCAATAAGATTTAAGGAAATTTTTGACCGTCAAACAGATCCAAACTGAAAATTCCTTTGTTTCTTTTTTATTGTTATTCTGAAATTATATCAAGACTGCATACTTAACGTAGTAGCGTCGTACAATATAATTAAAATTAAATTAACTTTGCGTTAAATTTGAGTATTAAAACGTTAATATGGGTGAAAAAATTCGTAATAAAACTTACAATTACCTAATTGGATTTGAAATTAAAAAAATTAATAATAATAGATTACCTTCGTACCGTGACGTGCTGAGTTTGTTCATGTTTAAGCATATGTCTTTAAAAATGACGATTCGAAATAGTTCTGCTAGTGTTATCTCTGAAACAAATGCTGTTTGGGCCAAATTTATGATCCCAACTATGCGTCCTCAGCACAGTATTAAAAAATTAGAAAAATTTTACGCTAAGTACAAAGATCTTAAAAAAGGTCGTAGCAGAGAAAAAAAATCAAAAGCTCAACAGAAACATGTTCAAAACTTCAAGGAAAAACTTGATCAATTGTTTGACATTTCCAATTCGACTGCAGTCAAAAATTTACCGAAAGAACTCCAACAATTTTTGGTAGAGCGTCAAAAGGGAAATAATAACTTGCACTTGCCAGCTACTTCTGTTCCGCCTGAAGAAATTTTTGAGGATCAATTTGATATGGAAGTGGAGATAAAAAATGAAGAAAATGAAAATAATACGGAAGAAATTGGTTTGTTTTTATATTTTTACTTTTTTAAAAACAATAAAAATTTTTTTATTGTTGAAAATTAATTTTCTTCAAACTACTTAATTAATTAATAAACATTTTTTTCAGAAGCTATGTGATTGTTCTTCTATCTGTATATCAAGGACCAATAATCTACAGATTAAACTAATCACCAGAGTTCTAAAAATTCTACAAGTCGCCAAAATTTTAATTTTGGAAAATAATCAGTATATTCTAATTTTAAATTGTTCAATAACATTACATTAATAATTGTAAGATTCTACAATTAATTATTTAAGCAGTAAATTTAATAGTTCATAATTTATAAATAATCATTTAAATTAACAATCATATAAATTATCATTTATAAATAAATAATAAATAATAGAGTAAGAATTGATATTAAATCATGTTATTTTTATATTTTCATAAATAAAATAATTATTAAATTAATATAATTATCTACTTTGTTAATTATTTTTTAAAAAATAATTCCTTTTAATATTTACAGTTGAAATTTTACCCACAAAATCGTTGTTTTTTTTTTTTTATAAAGAAAAATGATTAATGATAAAGACAATTAAGTTGTTTAACATCTAATTGTCTTTCTTGGTGTCAGTTTTTCCTCAACGAATTCTTAAAGTATGAAGAGCAGCAATAAGACTAACACTGGTTCCACGTTTGAGGAATCTTATCTAATTAATTATTTATTTAAAATTAATAATAGGTATGTAATTAAAAAAAAAAAAATCTGTCTTTAAATATCTTTGATACTTTTATTTAAATTATGTAACTTATATTGATCATAAATATTATTATTATTATTATTAAGTTGAACTTTAAAAATTAAGAATTAAAAGTATTATACAAAAATAGTTAATAAATATAAATAATTAATAAAAATAATTCTGATTTCTTATTAAACTAATCTTCATCAGGAAGAGTTGGAATTTCTACATCTGAGCAAGTAAGATCTTCATTTACAACTGAACGACGGGGATAATCTTTTTCTATAACTATAGTTAATGGTTCACGGTCCAAGTCGTCTTCAAAAGGCTTTATGATGCGATTAGCAGGCTTCAGAATTGCTGAAAGTTCATTAGCTTCTTTATCGAGTGCCTCGGCTCTGCGTAAGACTCGATCTGCATAAAAAAAATATATTAAAATTAATTGTTACATATTATTATGTTTTTATGGAATTTTAGAGTAGTTTAAGTAAATTACCAAAATTTTCTTTGAAGCCATAAGAGCTTGCTAATTTTTCTGCCGGTGGGTAAACGTGAGTATTGACTTTCGGTGGCAAAGGTTTTTTAAATACTGGGCTTACTTCTTTGTGTGGTGATTTGGAGTTTGGAGATAATCCTTGTTTTTGTATCTGAAGTACATTCTAGAAAAAAATTATTATTAGTTATTCGTCAATACAATAGATTTAATCGGTTTTAACCTTGTCAGATTAGTGATAGCTTTACTTCAACGTTAGTTGTACACAACAAGTCAATAATATTTCAATTATAACTTAAATTGATTCTATAATAATTTTACAATTTCTATCGAAAATAATAATAATAATAAGAATAATTATAATCTAACCTTTGATACTTTATCCTTAAACAGAGTTAATGTACTTTTTTTAGCTTCATCAACTTTAATAGCCGATGATGATTTCGCTGGCAGTGCAATGTTTAACTCAGACCGGGACCTGATGGATAATCCCTTTGGTTTTACTGCAACCAGCGTGAATGATTTTCCCGGAAAATTAACGTTGGATGTCATTTTTGTTGGATTCGACATTGTTAGAGATTTAGCACCTCCTGATTGAAAAAATATACGCAATTAAACGATAACAATAAAGTTAGTCGACATTTTTAATTTTATTTTGTTTAATTTATTAAATTTTAACTAAAAAATATTTTTAAAAAATTCCACTTATAGTTTTTGAAGTTTTTAACAAATGAATAAATTTTTTTGTAATAATTCTTCAATAAAAAAAATTGTAAAAATTTTCAGATGTCGGCTAACTTTATTTTCATAATTAATTGTCAAAAAAATTTATGATATTTAATTTAGCAGTAACTATATAATTTTTTAATTTTATTTGACAAAAACATTTCTTCCAAAAAAATTACATTCTTAATTTATTAAAATTTCTATGTCAATTTTTTTGCACAAATTTATTTCTTAGAAAGTCTAAAAATTATTATCTGATACTTGAATTTTCATAAAAGTTTCTAATTTACTTGATAACCTTAAAATATTTGTAATATAGTTTTAATAGTTAGACTTACGAAAATTGGGTTGATTTTCCGAAGTGTTTTTTGTTGGTGTATGAAAAATATCAAATCCTCTGGTAGACATTCTTAAATATTTTGATATCAATTTTTTTAATAAATAATTTTATCTTTTGATCTGTTCGCTTGTGTTACTAAATTACTAATGTTTGCTCCGATCTTAGTAACGGATATTTTGTTTTACCGGGAAATGACTGATTTTCAAGTGACGATAAAATTTAACTGTAGATGGCGACTCTGTTTTTGTTTTTTCGGATAAACAAGTTATACACTCATGCGAAAAGGATATCTGTTTATGGCAGTCTCTGGTATTCTGTCAACATTAACTCGTGGATTACAATCGGGCTTAAAGTTTAACAAAGGTACATAATTAAATTATCGTATTTATTGAATATAATTTATATACTCTTAATACATTACTTTTAAGTTATTTCAATTACAAAATTAGTAGTTGAGGTTAAATTCACTTTTTGTATTAAATAATTTATAAAAAATTGTTTTCCGCTCTTTTTTTTTTTATTAAATTAATTAAACATTTGAAAAATTTTTAAGAATTATTTTGTAAGAAAATTTTCAAAGAAATCACAAATTTTATTTTTATCTATATATAGTTCTTTTTTAAAAATAATTTAAATTATTTTTAACATCAAGGGTTACAGAAATATTTATTTATAAATTTTGCGGATTTGACATAAAAAGTATGACAATAATTTTTTCTTTTAAATAATGCATTTTTTAAAATATTTATTGATTAAAAACAAAGTTTGTAAATTTCTTATAAAAATCAAAACATTTATTATTAGATTTTATTTTTTGAGCCTAGAATAATTTTAATCAAAATTTTATAACTGAAAATACTTGAAAATAATTTAAATAATTTTAGTTTTTTTTGTGAAAATTAATTCATCAGATATTTATTAAATTTTAAGAATTTTTGTAACAAATAAATTATGACAAAAAAAATTTGACATTTAGAAATTAAAAAAAATATAAAATTCAATTTTTTTTAAGATGATAAAAAAGTCTAAATATATTAATTGTCACACAAAATTATTTAATAAGCTTGCAAAAATTAATTTCAAAAATTTATATTCCAATTTAATTTTTCTATTTCAGCTCCAATAAGAAGTCTATCAAGAATGGCAACAGCATTAGATGCAATTCCTGATGTAAACATTGATCCCAATGGTGTTTTCAAGTACATTTTGGTGTACATCCACGACGACAATACTAAGCAAAGCAAACCGATAGTTCGAGGGTACAAGAAGTGCAAGTTTCATGGTGAGTAATCATTGTTAATTTATTCGTTTTATGGCTAATAAATTATGCCTGATGAATATGGTTGGGGAATTAAATCAATAGTTCATAAAATTTAATAGTTTATTCGGGAACCAAGGATACGCCTTAGGCTACAGGGTTGTAACAGTCAATAGTTTTATTTATTAATTTTTGTGCATAATATCCAATTTTATTAAACGAACATTACTTGACAATTAGACAATTACATACCTTTGTACAAATCCAAAATAGGACCTTACTTATTTTATAAATTCTGGTTTAAATAATTGCAGAGTAAGAAAAATAGGTAGAGTTTTTTTTTATGACAGATTAAATATCGATGGCAGTAAAAAGATATATCTGTTACCAGAAATAATAAAAAAAAAAAGCTTATTAATTAAGTAAATAAATAAATATACATATATATAATCCTTTTTTTTAAATATATACTTTGGCTTCTGTACAAAAAAGATTTTCTAGTCTTAAAAATGTCTACAAGACTCGCAATATTCTCTAAAATATTTTCAGATCAAAATTTCCATTGAAATTTTTAAATTTACAGAACTAAAATAGACAATCATTCTTAATTAAAGTGAAAAAATATCCGTTTAAAATTTTACCGAGACCGAGAATCGATCCCGACTTTCCCGCGCAAAAGTTACTTACCCTCTACTCGTGTCACCACCGTGAAAATACCTCGAGAATAATAATCCTAACAATAAAATTGACTCTTTTAGTTATAATTACAATAAACTTTTTACATAAAAGTTAATTAAATTTATACACCAATTAATATACACTAGGAGGCTCGTCGAAAGCAGAAACAAGCTCTTTGTATACTGAAACCTTCGTCGCAATCTCTGTGATTGGTAGTACTACCGAGAGTTCTCACAGCAGTACTTTGAATACTTTTATTATTATTCGAATTAATATTACAGGGCTGGCTTACGACAGCGTTAGCTTTAACCCGGTCTCAGGTGCTTTCAAAGAGCTTATTGTTCTCTTTAAGATTCACGTCAGCCATTTGCTTGACTTGCACCAATGCAGTGGTAACTTTGTTCCCGTTAGCCTGAATAGATGTTTCCATCACTGCTAGCGGTTTTTTTTTATCTTCGCCTCCGCTATTTGCGTTTGAAGTTTCTACCGGTGGGCTCTTTAGTGGTAGTGCCGGAGAAAAAGTCGATAATTCTGGATCTGGATCCGGTCGCATTAACGTAAAAGGCAGCTTCACAGACACTACGTTACACATCAGTGATATCAGAAGTTTTACCTGCAAGATTGAAGAGTTGTATAAGTTTAACTAGGTAACTAGGGAACTTCATTACTCATTACACGAACTCATTACTTAATTTGCAGAGCTTAATGCATTTAATTAATTACTTGTACATAGTAGGAGACATTTATGGCATAAGGATTTCTGTCTTCTTCATTGTATACTGGAGAAATAATCGTCGACGCAAGACATTTTTCCTTTTCTTTCTTCGTGTAATTATATTCAAGAGCGATCCAGTTTTTCGTTGAGATCAACGCCGGCTTTAGGCTGTAAGTTTTTGAAAATTTTGTCCCAGGAGCCAGGGGACAGTTTTCACGTTCTGATTCAGCTCCCACGACGTTTTTGAACTTACCGTGCTTGTACATGCAGACGTCAACATGTTGCAGTAATAGGATCTGCAATTAATTAAATTTATATTATTAAGAAAATAAGAAAAATTTGGTATCCAGGATAGTTATATGAATAAATCGTTTTTTTTTTGTTAAAATTTAGAGTCATTGCAAAGATCTTGACTTGAATTTATGCACATAATTAAAAAATGACTTTGTATCTAGTGAAGTATTGACATTTTTAAAGATATAAGCTTATCCCGATGTTATACTCATCAAGACCTTTCATATGAGTACCCACATCAATTTTTCATATATTTTATATATTATATATGAAAAATATATGAAAATGTATGTGGGTACTCAAATGAAAGCTCTTGATGAGTGTAACATCGGAATGAGCTTATATCTTTAAAAATGTCAATAGTTGAGAAAGTACAGTACAATTTATCAAAATTCGTTATTTAATAAAGCAAAATTTTATTTATTTATATAGTTCACTAATCACGGCAGTCACATATTGACTGCTAGGTTGCTTGTAATTAATTAATTGATTAATAGAGAATGAGATCAGATCAGCAACAGACTATTTTTATTTTAGAATTCAAAGGGATTAATAGGAATATCTCATAATTTGCTCCGCTAATGGACAGTGACTACCTAATTAGTTAATGTACCTCAATCCTCCTTACGGACTTGTGACTATCATTATTCACAGTTACGTGGACTTGTACATCCTCTCCGTGAGTATAATTAGCGCGGTCTAGATGCACCTCTAGGCGTATTGACCCGGGGTTTAGCAGAAATCGCTTCTCTACAACTGCGTGGGGTGGTTGGAACTCTGGAAATAGTTAAAATTTTTTTTTATTATTTATTTATAAAAGAGCATTACTTCTGATAAAAATAAATTGAGTGGATTTATTTTCAGGGGTTAAATAATTTAATAGCCAGCAGAGACAATGTAGCTGTATGTTTTAGGTTGATTTAAAAATTGAGTTAAATCTTCTTTCTAAGTAAGCTGGTTAACTGTTTAGTTTGATTCTCAGAGAATATTACTCACCGTCACACTCAACAACTTCATTCTCGCTCCCAAGTATTTGTGTCTTTTGCGGATTGCAGTCAGATTGAATTGTTGCCGGTGGTGAAACCGAGGAGAGATTACTCAGCGGTACAGGTGGTGAATTTGTACGGAGTATTACGTTTATTTCCATTCTAACTTCTGAACCAGGGTCTACTTTTTTGTCCGCTCGTTCAGCTGGAAGTACATTTATATTTAAGATACATTTTTTTTACTGTAGAATTTATTATGTTTAAAATGTAATTCGTCTCTGAGGTAGTTTATGTCATTGGTATTAAATTTTACTAACTTCTTTTTTTAAAAAAAGGTAACTGAGAAAATTTTCTTAACAAAAAAAAAATTTTTTTATGACTAAAATCCGTCATGGAAAACTTTTTTACGATTATCAACTTTTTATTGCCTCTCTTTTATTGATAAATTGATAATTATTATTATTATAAAAATTAATAACAAACTTTTCATATTTCATATTAATTATGATCGATAGAAATTAAATTAAAAAAAAAATTAAATCAATTTAAAGGAAATGAGACCTTGGAAAATTAGTCTCTATAATTAATTTAAACTTTGTGTGATTTTGAACTTTGGAAGATGAACTTTAGGGTCTTGTAATTTATGCTCGGAAATTTATGCGCTTGCATTAATGTTATAGAGAAACCAATGAGTTCTAAATGCTTTTATGTACTTAAAAAGAAATTTACGTACTTTCAACGTTACTATCACTTTTTAAAAATTTAAATTACTATTTCAGTTTATCTAACCATGTTTTTTAATTAAAATATTTTCATGTCAAAAGGAAAATTAAAAAAATATATGGTAAGGTAAATATTGTCTCGCTCAGAGTCAATAACTCACAGAGTACACATTTTTTTAATAAAAAAATCTGATACTGGTTTTTATTCAATCAGATAAATAAAAACGGTATTTTATTTGAAGAGCGGTAAATATTTAGCAAAAAATATCTTTTGAATGTCAATAAATTTTTTATGTACCTATAACTTTAATTACACATCATATTTGCATTCATGTAAAAAATAAATCGTGTGTAAATACAATATATTTTGTTGAAAATACTTTCTCTCTATTTTAGTATCAAATAAACCGATCCATGATCAGAGTAGCAATTAATGAAATTGTAACAACAATTTAAATGGTACAAAAAGTATTAATTAAACCAAAGTTTAATTTCAAAAGTTTAAATTGAAAATTTATAAAATAAAATTTCCACATTGATTAATGTTATTTTAAACGTAAATTAAACTTTAAAATAATTTATTTATTTATAAAGGTCAAATAAAATTTTACCAGCATAAATCGTAACCAGATAACTGGTGCCGATGGGCGCGCCATTGTACTCTTTAGCCGGGTGAAGATGAACAGAAGGTGGTGCTACCGATGGTATTTCCAGGGAAAATGCATGAGCTGTAGGTCCTTCTTTTCTAATTATAAGATCCTGTACAGAAAAAAAAAAATGTTCTTGAATCAAGTTTATAATTTTGAAGAACTTAATATTCTTGATTTGAGAATTGTTCTTGAGGAAATTTTACTTGATTCAAGAATTTTTCATTTTGATTCAAAAAAATTATTTTCTTGGCTTGAGAATTTTTTTCTCGAATCAAATTAATTTTTTTTTCAGTGTATAACACATAAAATAAATAAAAAAAAAAAAATAGAAGCGATGAACGATGAACTAGATTAGTTAAGTTTTTTCAAGTTATTAATCTTACGTAATTTTCTCATATAACGAAACAGTGATGGATACTTTTCAGTCGGATGTTTTATCAGTAATTTTGATGGTAGTCGATGCCGATGTTTGCCGTGTTATAGATGAGTATAGATAACTTTTATCGTGAAATGTATATCGCTGGGATAAATATTGCGAGACATGAGGGCGATGCTTGTCACAAGGTTGATATAGATTGATTAGCCATTTAATGACGGAAGACACCGACTCGGAAAAAGGAAGTACGCGATATTTTATACTTCTAGTTTTAAGGTTGTCTTCTTATTGCTAAAGTTAATTTTTAATTATCACTAATACAAGCAGTATTTATATTTAATACAATATAACAGTATTTTTATTTTTATTATCTTTGTGATTAACACTTGTGAAACCCGCATGAGTAAATTTTAAAAGTTTGTTCGGCTTGTTGTTTGAACTCGACTTTATTATACTTTTTTACCTCTATTCCTTTAATTCGCAAATATCTAGTATAAATTGTATGGACAGCTGTGAGCATTTAAACAATTTAATTTTTTTTTATATTTTCCACTTTAAATTGCTTATGCCAGCGGATAAAATAAAAACTTTTTTAAAGAGTTTGTCGACTAGAAACATGTTCAAAGAATTCCTCTCGATGCATATAACTTATACTATTTATTTTTTTCATTTATCAAATTGTTCAGACGAGTGACATTTAAACTTTTCTTTGAGTTTTACACAAACAGTTAATGTTACTTTTTTTTTAATACCTTTGATTTGACTAAAAATTATTTTTTTAATTGATTATTGTTATTTTTTAGTTTTTTTATTTTCTTAAATTTTTTTTTTTTTTTTAACCAATTTATAAAAAAATTAAAAAAAATTTCAATAATTATAGTTTGAAAATTGAATTTTTACAAACTTAATAAGAATTATATTTAAATAAATAAATAATAATGAAAGAATAAATTTTTTTCATAAAATTATCTACCAACTGTTCAATAAAATAATAATAATTATTATATTAATATATTTAAATCCAGCATAGAGCTTTCATTTTTACAAAAGTCGCTTTGCATAAAAAGTAGGCTGGTTATTTGATGGATTGACAATGACATGCTTATACATTTTCATTTTATTTTTATTTCAGTTGTACATAATAAAGTGTATAACGAGTGAATTGAATGATGAAGCTGTATTTATGAATAACATGAAAAAAAGTTTTATAAAAATGGTTTAAAGCACTCTCTGTGACGAAGGTTTTGGGTTCGCGACTTGAACAAAATCCTGTACAAGGTGTAGCAATATTGAATGAAAGCGTGAAGAATCTCAACTCATGCCAGAATTTATTGTTAATAAAAAATAACAATCTGTTGTATAGTTTACATTTTATTTCATATTTTTATTTCATTAAAAACAGAATTTTTACCAGCCGAGCTTTATATTATCCTTATTATATTTTAAGGAGCTTACAGATAAAACAAATTGGAAATAAAATAAAAGTAACTTTATCTTAACATAAGCCATAAGCTATTCTAAATAAAAAGAGCTTTTAGCAGATCGTCCATCAAAGTTGATAGAGAGAGAGAGAGAATATATTATAGTGATCGACCGAGAATCGAATACATTGAGGCGATAGAAGATAGATGGAAGAGCAGTAGTATGAGTCTATTTGAGCGGTACAAACCGCTGAGTTATATTGAACTTTGTATTCGGTGCGTATTCTATTCAACCACCAGTGCATTGTAGTCTAGCTCATACAAGCTTTGCTTTTCTTCGCTATATGTATTATATCTGGCTTCCGGTGGGCGGTTGCCACCCTCATTCTGTCTCGGTTCGTACGTTTGTATCGCGAGCGCGAATAAAGGTGAAAAGATTTATGTTTACGGGTGAGTTACCACTAGGACGGAAATTTAAGGGCGAACAGATGGCGTGTGACACGAGATACCAACTTAAGCTACTTTATCAACTCAAATATGCTTTATGAATGCACTGTAAATAATTACTGGTCTCCGGTCCACTGTAAATTATTTGGTGTGAAAATTTTCTACAAAGTTACTTTAACCAGAGCTTGAGCACTTAATTCTCCGAGTATGATAAATTGCATAACGATGCAAAAGAAATTACTTGATTCGATCATTTTTTTTCAGTAGACTAGTATAAAAAATGTTGAAAATATTTTTTAGATTATGTTGAAGGATAAATTTTATTTTTGAAAAGATTTTTCAGCTATTTTGAATAAAGAATATTTTTTTGAACCGCAACTGTAAGATTTTGAAACAAAACAAAAGTATAATGTAAATTTTCTAGATAACTATGAGAAAAATAAATTTCGTCAAAGTTATTTGAAAATAAAAGCCAGAAATTAATTTTTATTTTCAAATTTTACAATCCAAAAAATTAATTATCAAAATTTGACGAATTACAGTTTGAATTAAAAATAAATTGATTATTTTTGAGAAAAAGTTTTTTAAAAATTGCTCCGATAAAGTTGACTAAATTTGAATTTTTTAAAAACCAAAAATAATTTTAAATATTCAATACCCGTGAATTGAGAAAAAATGTTCTTAAAAGTAAACGAAAGTATTTTTAGATGAAGAATTTTTTTTATCAATTAAAGTTAAAGATTTTGTGAACCAAGAAGTTAAAATTCAAGGCCAGAATTTCTTGAAACTAGACAATAATTTAAAAAATAATTTTCTTAAAAAAAATTTCTTCTAAATTAGATAGATAGATAGTTTTTCTATGAACGTAGTGAATTTTTGCTTCAAAAATTTCTTTCTTTATTGTTGAAAAAAATTTTCTACGCCGCCCATCAATAAAGCTCTCTGTTATTCATTACCGATGTATATTGTATATTGTTCTCGGCCGTGATGTCGTAACTCGGTAGCCGGTCAGAAATAATTAAGTAGGTAGTAGCATCTATAAAGGGCGAGACTCCTTCCGGACACAAGTTCGAGATAATAAATTTCGCGAGTAGTCCTTAGTAACCTTGACTCTGTGACCTATCAAAACATGCTCTTAATCTCGTATTGTTTAAATATATCGACTAGAGATGAGCGGTAAAATTGATGGCCTTCTAAAAAATGGCGTAGTTTACACCTGAAAGTAAAACTACGGTACACAATCTTCTCAACTATCTATATATAGTTGTCGTAAAGTGGTAAACGCGACTAAATTCGCGGTGGGTTTATCGAGTAGAGGCCAAGGTCAGGTCCCGATACTCTGACGTCAGAGTGTACATCTCTTCTGATGCAGAAAAATAAAAACGTTTTATTATTTCTTCTGGTAAAAAAGAATATGTTTCATTTTTTTTCCATGGTCACGCCTGTAGCATGTATACTCATATATACTTATATACATAAAGATATATGTGAATCCGTTTGATACATTTTGTATTATCCAAACCTCAATGGATTTTATATTCGATATTAAATTTACATTTTTTCGTTCCGCTGAGTCAAGTAATGTGTCAAGAGAAAATAGTAGCTGAATTCGAGTTTGAAATTGAATGTCGGCAACACAAAGTCAAGGAGGATTATGACGGTCGGTGGATTTAATATTCCGGATATTGATTACGGATACCGTAATTATTATTAAATGGAATTCATGTATAATCGTCAAAAAAGGAGATAGACTTTTAACGTTAGATAATTAACGAAGATATCGTTGGAAATTTTCCTGAGAGTAAAGGAAACTCCTTGAGGGTATTATCATCTTCATAGTTAGAAGTCTGAAATGTTTGTTATGATGATAATTATATCCTATGAAGATTTTCTTTCTTTGAAATTTCCAGCCATTAATTGAATTTTTAAGTTGTTTTTGTTCTATTTTTTAAAAATCAAATCGCTTGTATTAAAAATTTGCAGTAGTCCTTAGAAAAGTTTTAATAGACCCTCTAAAAATCAAGACGGTAGACTTAAATTGAAAACCTTTGTCCAAGGTTGTGCCACACTCAGAACAAGAGTCAATTAATGCCTATCGAACCCTTTTTCTACGCGGATATGCAACAAATATATCAACATTTGTCCTTCAGATCGAAATCAAAACCAATTTAACTCGAAATGACTATTCTGTGCTTTTTTTTTATTATTTCCTGTTACCTTGCTATTTTTACAGTGAAGCGGTAATCGAAGTTTTCGATTTGTCAAAATATTATCCTTTTGAAAATACTCCATAAATTTCATTAATTTTGAAACAATCACTCACGAAATGGAAAAAGAATAAAATAAAAAATGTGAACTATTGGATTTTTATCCTTTGCAGCATTGTCATGTAAAACAGAATTTCAAATGCGAATCACCTTGCTCGTAATTATTTAAATTTAAATGCGAAAAAACCGTACAATAAAAATGAGTTCATGCATGCAATTACTCATTTTAAAAAATGCTGGAAAAAAATATAAAGCCAAAATATAAAAGAAGATATTTATGTGCTTTTAATAAAATGCAAGTTCCATTTACGTTACTACCACTATTATAAATGGTTTGCGTTATATTTTATTATTTTCCTTTTTACTCATTAGTGCTCCCTTCCTCATGGTCTATATTTTTTCCGCTGTTATTCATGGTGATTGTTGTTTACTGATAGTTTATAAAAAAATACGAGGTCAGGCACTACCAAATTTTTTAGGGTATTTATACATTTTTTAGGGATTTATAAATTTTGTCCCGTGAAAAAATTTTCTGATGTGTCTATACATACTTTTTAATATGTTCTTATATTATTACTTATGCCCTGATATGAAAATTGACTCTATCAAATTTTTAACAAAATATAGTATTCAAAATCTCTGAGACAGAGGTCGCATGGTCGCTGAATCATTTCCTTACAAGAGAATTAATTTTAAAGTATTAAGTTTTCAAAATAAAAATAATTTTTCTGACTCTAAAAACATTGAATTAGGTTTTTAAAACAATTTTTTAACTTACGTAAGAATAACAAATACATAATAGAAAATATGAACATTTATAAATAAAACGAGATGTGCAAAAATTGAGCCAAAAAGAGGAATTGTAAAATAACTATATTTAATTAAATTCTATACAATTTATAATAGTGTAAAAAATGAGAACTATCAATAGAAAAATGTAAAAATCGAAAAAATAAAAATTTATTTTCCATTTTCATAAATAGCTCGATATGGCCATTTGTTATTAGATCAGAAAAATTTTTTACGGGTATTTAATAGATATTAATTTTTCATATTCAGTTTTTATAAAATAAAATGAAATGAATTTTTTTTTTTTTGCAAAATATCTTAATGAAAGTAATCAATGGGTTCCAAATCATAATTTGTGTATAATGCATTTAATTCCAAATTACAAGAAGTTTTTGAATAGTCATTCGTGTTCATCCAACCTCAATAATTAACAATACAAGGGCAAAAAGTATTAATATTTATATCTATAAAGAATTTAATTTGATCCCTATAACTGGGATTAATTTTTCTGTACGGGGATGATACGTTCAGTTCGGTAGGATGATTTATGTTGCTAATGGTTATATTCATAGCAAAAGCAGTCGGTCATTTTGTTGTGGCCGTTATTTTCATTAAATTGATTAATGAACAGCCCGAGTAGCAGTAGTAGTTGTTGGGTGAGCTGGGAGTTAATCGAAATGTGCTGCTATGTTACATTACTGTTACCGTTGCATTAGTAAGTATCTAGTGCGGACTGGTGGGTTATGAAAAACAATAAATGCGACGAACCGTGTAATAACTCCCCTTTGGGTGATACCCGATAATTGTTGTTGTAATCGCAATACCTGTTAATCATGTTATGCATGTTCAGAATCCAGAATCCAGGATCCATACATGTAGACAGTCTTGTACATGTATGGCTATCCTGGCCTGGAAACGTATGAGCATATAGATGAAGTGCAGATGTGTTGATGATGACAAATCGAATAATTTATCGAAGTGTCGTAGTAGATGTATTTTAGAGAACTCAGGCATACCTGTAGAGCTGTCGATGGCTCTTGGTGATCCGAGTCAGAACAGGGAGGATACAGTTGGGCGAAGCAGATTATTGCCTCGGTGCAAAATTTTATTCCCATGTACTCTTCATCCTCTCGTCCATATCGGAAGGTCAAAGTGACTTGTCCGTACACCTACCAACACACCGAGCATTCAATCGAGCATGAAATACCTGTCTATTGAGTACTTCATCTGGTTGATTCAATCCTCAATACACTCTTGGTACTCAGTATGTACCACATACTACCACATATATCTCTATGTCTATAGTCTTGCATATATGTGTTCGTACATAGGTTCGTTCCATTGTGCATCATCTCTATATCAATACCAAAGCTACTTACCCGTTTGTTTTTAATGTATTCTGGATCAGCCTTTATTACGCCAAACAGCTTATCTATTTTACCATTGTTCACTATCAGATCCCGATTAATTAGGTAGAGGATTAGCTTCTCATTTCTCGATTCTTTTCTGAAGTACCTGGAACAAATAGGTTGGAGATTAGAAGCAATTCATCTGGAATTTTAATTAGAGAGAATGTATTGTAGAATCCCGATAAAGTTTGAGAACACTGATGAAAAAATTTAGTCATTTTGATTTATGAATGTGTTAAAATTACGTATTGAGTCTATGAAAAACATTTACAATTCATGCATTGTAATTTTACGGTGTTCCTTGCAAGTTTATAATCTATTTATAAAGTTTACTAATATTTGTGTACATATCGACGTTCTAATTAGCAAATTATCTAACTCTATTTTAAAGAATCTTCCATTTGTACGAAAAAAAACAATTAGTTCAAAATTTATTATCACTTTAAAAAATCATTTAATATCAATAATATCTAATAAAGGTATAATATTTTGGTTTGAATCATTCAAATAATTTATAATTGGACTATTGCTACATCAAAATGTTAAAAAATCACCCTCTAAAAAATAAGGAGTTAGAAAAATTGCTAATTAGACCGTTGATATGTTTTTAAAATCAGTTTATTATATGTATAATTAACTACATATTGGTAAGATTGGAAGACAGATTGGAAGGTAGATTTTGATGAAATATTACTACTAAGTATTGTTGTAACTTTTCAATGAATTGCTTTACAAAGATAATCACTAAAAAAATTAGAAAAATTTCCGCTTGGTTAGAATCAAGCAGAAAACTTTTTTGCTTTTGATTGAAGGTCAGCATTCGAGTTATCCGTTTGTTATTGAGGTTCTACTGTATTTGATTAGTTGTTTGATGCAGTTGTGGATTTTGTGAAGCCAAAGTTATGGATATGAGTATTAACTTAAAGGGCGTGGGTTTGATACACACAAAGATGCTTAACAGAACATGGGTTAAAATAACTATTTATACCTTGTATTAATGATTATGTTTTTCTAATATTGCTCATACATGGAACAAAATTAATGAATTTAATTAAACTGATAATGAAGTTTTAATGAAAAGGATTCAACATTGAAAATTTCTAGTATAATAATATAATAATGAAGATCAACATGTTGTTAAATTTGTTGAATACAACGGCTCGTTAGTTTCATTTATATTTTATCTATTTAACCAGATATTACGAAGAAAATGAACTAATATTGCACGAACAGTTCTAAATACTAAATTGAAAAAAATGATCGACTGTAATAAAAAAATTAATTTGATTTAACGGAAAGATCTTTCGTTTTTTATTTTTGTCAGTCAACTACAAGACTAAAGTTTACATTTCTTCTAATACTCGAAAAAAAAATAATCTTGCCTACGTGTAGGTATTAATTAAAAAGATAAATGAATGAATACCATTGATTGTTAAAAGTTGAAGCATTGATAGATGGCGAAATGGGGTGGGTGGCTCTGCAAATAATAAATAACAGTCGTAAAAATATGAGATGAAAATAGTATCGCGTATCAATTGATAAAAAAGTTTGATGTACTGCTGTAAAATTTTAAATAAATGTGCATTGTACATGATAATTTAATTGGGGTAGTTCTACGTGGACGAATTTGTTGACAATGGAAAATTTTTGATGCTTTAATATGCTTTGCATGAGCTATTCAATTTGCCGTAGCTGCATGCCAGAAAAAGAGGAAACTACGTAAAAATTTCATATAGCTATTACATTAAATTTTACCATCGGATAATTATATTTGTACGGTATATTTGGTAGGAAAGCACTTTCGCATAACGAGATGCCTTTTTATAATATAAGTATATATAAATAATGGATGGGTACTATATAGCACAGGTATTTGTGTAAATATACATATCGCAACTAGAAATGGAGATGCAGTCCGTGCTTAAAATTGAATTTTTATCTTTTATTATTCTATTATTTTTTAATCAACTAGTTAGCGGCGTGCTTATTGTTGATTCACTGACTTACTTGGGTTATTAAGGAAAAGGGAAGAGTAATTTGATATTGTACTCTGACAAATAACTAATTAATTCAGCAAAAACATTCTTAATCATAAAATTATTTTGAAGCGAACCGACTGGCTCAATTTAAGAATTTCTTTGCTTTAAATTTATTTATTGAGGCAAGAGAAATTTGAAATTTATCAAGAGTTTATTATTTTAGATATTCATTCAAATTCATCATCTAAAAATACAATTCTTGAAAATGAATGATAATTACATTTTTCTTCAAGAATTTTATGAGAAATTGTTCTTAGTTTGAGTAATCTTTACTTAATTTAAGAATTTCTCTTTTTGAACTAATTCTTAAAAATCATTTTTTTAGTTCATGATTTTTGCTTTTGAATCGTTAATGTTTTTATTTCTGCAACATAAATAAATTCTGTATATTTTTGAGATACTATCAAATTTTTCAAAAAAAAAATACAATTCTTCAGAACTAATAATAATTTTGTTTTCTTTAAAGAATTTTATATTCTTGCTTCACTAATAAATCTCTTTATTCAAAGTAGCAAAAAAAGATAGTAATAATAACAAATTTTTTACTTGAAGTTAATCTGAAAAATATTTGAGACTAATTATTAATGATATAAAAAATGACCAAAATTTGAGCATAGTAAGTATTTTTGAACCAAAGAGACTTTTTTGACTTTATTTTTTAGTCTTATTGCTTTTTTTAGTACTTTCAGCAAACAATCTGATAAATTAAGTAAAATATACGATATTTTGTTCAAAAACAGTAAACTGCTTCATTAAATTTATCAAATTCTCAAATGTCAAATTTTTTTTCCCCCCTCAAGTTTTATTTTCTTGACTCGCGCATTAATTCGACATTTCTAGAATTAATTCGAGCTGAATATTTCAAAGCGAGGATATAATTCTCACGTTAATTTTTTTTTGATTCGTGTAATTTCTTTTGAATGTACATATTATATTATTTAAAAAAAATAAGGAATTTGAATCATCTTATTGAAAGTATATAGTTATGAGACTAACTTGGAGATTTAGCGGTTATTGAAATCGATTTTCTCTCATCTCGTACTTCCGCATTTTCAAGTCTCACTTTTCTATTTTTATTATTATTCCTCCTCGGAGAATCGACCGTGTAATGTGCAAGTAACAGATACACTAGCTGTTGAAAAGTTTAATGAGAAAATGGATGCAGCTTTAAGCATTAGCTGTTGTATTGTAATATATACTGTATCTAAAAGAAAGAAGACGTAAGAAATAATTTATGACGTTAGTATAATAAAAATAGAGTAGAAATTTTCCAATTGACTGCTATGGTTTCATTATTCCTTCTTTTTTCAGGGCAATAAAAGTACCTTTAAATTGTGGATTTATTTATAAAATAATTTAAGACTTAAACCAGACTAAAGTGACATTTAAATTAGTAAATTGCCGTAAGATTTATTCAAATTGTTCCCCTTATTCTCCATCTTTAGATGAAAAATATTTATTTTAAACTTTTATGAAAGATGTCTTACTAACGACTAAAACAATTTGCATTTAACTGAGGCAATTAAGAGTTACTATCTGGCAAGTGTAATTTAATTTTAAGATCAATGACTTCGAAAGTTTGGTGGGAGCTTTAATGAAAAAGTTTTCTGTTAATTTTTATTTATTTTAACTTTCTTAGGTTGAGTCGGAAGATTCTTGATTGATTGATTTTTAAATCAAATTATCTTACATAAAAGTTGCAATTACCAATTTTCAGCGCGGTATTAACTGAATCATTTATATTGCTAAATTAACTTGAATAAGTTGTTTAATTTTATTAAAAAGTTAACAAAAGATTGTAAAACTTGAGCGCAAAATGTGAAGTAGCTTTATATTTCTAATTATATTATCGATGGTTTGCTATAAGAGGTGCACTTGAATCAAGAGTACTCTTGAGAGGTGAACTTGATGTTATTTTAGGCCTTTAATATAAATTATCTAGAAAAAAATTTTATGGACCGATTGGTTCTTTATTTCTTCGGGTACGTGTCCCGGGGGACTTGAACTGACCTTATTTTTTTATTAGCTTCAGATTTCTTTAACGGGAAAATTTATTGAATATCACTGAAGTAATCCGTATCGTTTATTTTTCGTAATTATATTTATTTTGACTTTTAATGGCTTGATTATTTTATTTATTTATTTATTTATCAAAATTTTTAGACCCTGAATAATAATAATAATAGAAAAAATTGTTTTATTTCAAAATGTTTATAACAATTAATATCAAGCCATTAAAGTTTTTCATTAATTGCTTTATTATTATTTTAAACTTCCTAAAAATCATTCTAAATTTTTTTCTACTATCTAGTTTAGTTTTCTGCTATTTTATTTTTATGCTGTTAATAAAGTTCATTTTTTTTAAAACTATAATTTTTGAACTTCGGGAACAGATATTTCACTTTTTATAAATCCAGGTACAATGAAGTCAATTAATAAAGTCATCCGATACTATACATTCGTAGATTTGAACTACAGATTAATTAACACCCACATAACTATTCTTTCAATCGGATTTTCTTTTATAATTACTTTTCGTGAAAAGCCCTTCAGAGAATTGCATTTTTAGAAATAAAGTGTTCTTTATAGTCTTATACTTTTTATAGTGTTATAGCTGCAATAAAAGAGTTTCAAGAAACCGGAGAGAATCTTGCAATGTTATTTTCGATTTAAATTGCTATAAAGATTTTCAAAAATTGAAAATGGTGATATCAAAGACACTTGAAATGTTCTCTGGGGAGGAGAAACCTCTTAAGAAATTTTTATTCATGAGGCTATTAATGCCATCTACTATAAAAAGAGGACTAGTCCGCTAAAGGTATTCACAAATGTTGAGACGTTTGTCAATTTTATCATGACTTTATTTAATGCAAACCTGTCACAATTTATTAAAGTCAATTTTTTTATTAATATATTTGTCAGATTTTTAAGTGAAAATTATGTGCTGAATATTTTCGTTTAATGACATGAATTGTGAAATTTTTTTGATCATTGGGCATAAAAACTTCTGTAACTAGCTTGACGACTTGCGCAGTCAACGTTACTCACTTACGTAGGGTAATTATTTGTACTAGCTAGTTAAATATTACGTTGAGAGAATTCTGGTTTCTGGTGCGTAAATTTTAATCATAGTTGACACATGCACAGTGTTTCATATTGTAGGATATAAATGAGATATTTTATATCATTTATTGTAAAAAATTTGTCGTAAGTTTCTAAAATGTTCTGATGCAATAAAAAAGATTGGAAAATTTTGGCCACATTATCAAAAAATGTAAGAGATTTTATCAGAAGAAATATAAATTTTTTTTTATCAATTTTCAAGATAGAATTTCGATAAAAAGTAAAAAAATCGGTATTCTATTGTATGATTTGTTTTTAAACCATTTTCACGGAAAAATTTTTCAATTTTTTACAATATATCTTTCTAGATTTGAAGGACAAACATATTTACTCCTTTAAATTGAATGCTTGGGGAAAAAGTGACATCTAAATCGATTCATTGAAGATAAATATTATTTTCGTTTACTTTTTTCAATTTAAAACATCAAATTGACGTTTTTATACCCACCAAATATTTCGCTTGATAAATATTTATTTTATCATCTTAAATTAATGGGATGTAATATTTTTTTTAGAGACACTAAAAGTAATTGAGAATATCGGCTTAAGAAATTCATCTGTAAAAAATTCCGGCATCGAATTTTCAATTTTCCGAATGAGAACTCGAGAAAAGCAATATAAAAAGTTGTAAAAAATATTTGATTGAACGAGAGATTTCCATCATCCGCCCGTTGAAATCTTTACTGTTAGGAAGCCGTAAAAATTAGCCATTGTTATTCGGAGAATATACTTAACTTAAAGTAATAAAGTAAAGTTTCAAGATAATAGAACCTAAAAATAGTAGATTGAATGGTACGCTTTTTATCAACTAAAGTCTCTACTGTTCTTTTCAACGAGAAGAAAAAGAAGTCCAGATGTATTTCTCGCGCTAAGGGAATAGAAAACAAGCAAACACTTGGGAATAACAACTAAAATAAGAGCATAAAACTCAATATTTATATATCTGTATCGAGAAAAAGAATCTAGTCGATTGAAATTTCTGTTGCAGCTTCGAGACACAGTACACGCAGAGGAAATTTATTTATTCGCAACACTATATTCAAAACAATAACCGCGGTACAAATATTGTGAAATTGTCCTTGTGCGCATTGTCAGCCGGCTTTCAATATAAATTTATCAATATACCTACACCTACACCCATACACTTATAACATCTTTTATCTTAAATGCATCTTTTTATTTTCCTCAAGCTCAAGGGTGGCCTACTTTTGGCGAACTCGCGTAACCTTTTTGCCACTTTGTCTAACAAACACGCACACACGATATAGATTATTGGCGTATCGATTAACTAAAATGACAGCGTGTTCACAAGATATATAATATTCATTTCATTAATTATTTTCGTCTTGGGTAATTGCCATCAACCGCTCCCTGCTTAAAAACCATCTTTTTTCATGATACCTAGCAATAAAACGGTATCGAAGATCCGATAAACTCAAGCACGCTTTATCTTGTAGAGTGGTTTTCATGTTTAGTATTCTGTAATTACTAATTACTCTCGTGGTTTAACACGATGACCGAAATTTTGTCACATTGTCATTAGCTATAGATTAATTTCTATACCATATAAGGATCGTCTGACCAAACTTATTAGGTAGATTTCATAGAAATTAACTTTTAACAAATATTTATGGACAGTACTCAAAACTTTTTTGAAGTGAATGTGTCTTGCTTAGTGCGATATAAAGATTGTTGATAAATATAATAAAGGGTGACCGTCTTTTATTTCTCATGCAATAATTATCTACGACAAAATTTCTCAGCAAAAATTTCTTATGCAACATTTTATCCTACACGGAAAAAAATGAATAGTAATTGCAACATGATGCAGCCTTGGTAAATAAACATGATGAAATCATGTTGCAGCTACATGACTTGTCATGTTTCGGCTACGTGACAATCATGTTGCAGTAACATGATTTTTCATGTAGCCGAAACATGAAAATCATGTTGCTGCCCCATGATTTTTTTCATGCTACCGCAACAGGATTGTCATGTAGCCGAAACATGACAAATCATGTGGCTTCAACATGATTTCATCATGTTCATTTACCAAGACTGCATCATGTTGCATTTACTATTTATTTTTTTCCGTGTAGCAATATTTTCTCACACACACAAAAACCATAATCAAAAGGCCATTTTATTACTTAAGATATATAAGCATTTTTGTAAATGATAATTAATTTTCGTCAGATTAATTTACGTTATGATAAATTTTGATTTTGTACTTGAGATATTTTTGTATGAGCAATTTTTGCTGAGAAATTTTGACATAGGTAGTTTTCGCGGATTAATAAAAGCGGGGAGCCATAATAAAGATACAAAAATAATATTCACCACAAAAAAATCTGTAATTTATTACGATCATTGTTTTATAATTTATCTTATTTTCATTTTATCGAAAAATAAAAAAATGAAACCTATTAATCTACCTGACCTTATAAATTTCGGTTATCTGTTGAACTTATAGGGTTATAAAAACAGTTTTAAAATAAAATTTTTACAATTACGTTTCATTTACGGGCCAAAAAAATTGTCAATAAAGTTCATCAAATATTAACAATTCCTTTTGTGAGCGTGGGTTAAGCAAGTATTCTTTATTTAAACCAACGTGTCTATATTATAAGTTCTTTTCCGGGTTTATAAGAACCTTCCCGCAGAATAAATGATGAGATATGAAGGGAAAGAAAGGACACATATACATTGTATGAGGGGTAAGATAGAATGATGATAGTGACAAGCAGGTCTAAGACGGAGACACTTTACCGCTGGCGTTATCATCGAATTGTGTAGAGGTGGAAATTTCATTGTTATAGAAAGTATCACTTTTTTTTTCCACATTTTATCATTATTTTCCGCCCGATATCCACCCCAGTACACAATAGACATTTCGTTCCATCATGACCTGGGTTGTTCTTTTAGTAGATCGGAGAATAGTGCCTGAAACTCCAACCTGTAGAGTTTTAGCGATGAAACACCTTATTTTCCGAGTGTTTCCGAGTGGCTGCCAGCCGTAATTGCGATGCGATACCTCTGTTGCTGGTGAGCTATCCGTTAGCGATGTTATAATGTAATAAGAACAGCCACGTGCCGGCACATAACATTTCTGATATAATATTCATCAAGGATATAACTACTAGTTACAGTCCATAAATAAAACATGCAATGTGATAAGCATCTCAGCATGTAGTCAGGTTACCTAATCTCATTAAATACAACCTTAGTTATCAAATTCCTGTCTGGGTTAATTGGATGGAAACAATGATTCAGTGGTCGATCGCCTCTGTATATGGCTCGGGTCTAAAATTGTGCGGCGTTTTTTAAACTTTTTTATCCATTTAACAAATTACTTAATTACAAGATCGCCTAAGGCGCCCATATTTGTATTAGGTACTACCGCTCATATTTTATTCCCAACAAATTGACGGACTTTTGATTAATTTAATTTGTCAGCAAAAAGGTGGTGACTTAATCCAATAAAAGGGGTTGCTATTCCCAAGTGTTGGTGTTAATTTTGTCGGACTAACTTTGTTATTCTCCCCAAGTTTTTCAGTTCTCTTGTTTAAGGTTAAATGTGTACAAGAAAACAGTTATTTATAAATTGATTAATTATCCGAAATAGTTTATCGAAAGTTTAAGGAGCTTTGACGGGAAGTTTCCGCAAGAACATTAACTATTACCAAGTTTCTACAGCATTCAGAACGTGGCTTACTTGGTTAGAGTTTTAAATTCTCTAAAGTGGTTCATAATGTCAAAGTAGGGTAGTAGTTGACATAATACCATGTACAATGACTACGGCAGTGATAATGACAATGTAATATAGAGTAAAAGGGTCGTATGTCTGTTACCTCGCAGAATATTCCGTGTCTGTCTGTAGGTGATGCTGCAATTCACTTGATGTTTCTTCCTGACCCACATTTCTGGTTGTTTCCTCGTGCGTTTCGTTGTCATCGCTGTTGGCGTTTTCAATGGCATCCAGACTGTCCATTGTGGATAAGCTTCCTTTATTTAATATCCTAAAAGCACCTGCAATTTGATTTATTGTCATTAGTGACACATCGAAAGCAACATCAATTCCAATTCTAATGCTACCTTTGAAACACAATATTGGATAGATCGAAGATATAATAGAAATTTTTTGATTCAACAAATTTTTTTTAGCTCAAGAAAATTTTTTGTAGCCTTGGATTGGAAAGCGAAATTTTCTCAGGTTAAGAAGAAATGTTTTTGTTAGAAAAATTAATAAAAAAAAAATAACTTTTGATCTTGGCTTTTGGATTGAGTATACAAGATTCTTTCGGAAAACAATTGAAAAAATTATCTGATCTAAAATATTGAAATTATTTGAATAATAATTTAAAAAAAAAAAAAAAAAAGTTTATTCATTCAAGAATACTCCTGATTTGAAATGTCAGTTTTTTTCAGTATATTCTTCGATTGTGTCGATGTCAGGATCAATCATTTGTCATATTGGTTGAATTTTTATCTCATGATTTACTGGTTGAATTTTTCATGTTGTAAAGAGGCTTAGCTGAAAACGGTCTGGCTTTAGAGGCTCCTCAGAGTTCATATAAAACCCAGATTGATTTTCTGGGGGTTGAAATCTATATGCCGTGAAGAGAGCTAGCCGGAGGAAATGAAAAGGAAAAAATGTGGATAGGATGAAAAAAATTCCATGGAAACTTGTGGGGTTGATTCTAAAGAATCAATCCGGAATTTATGGGCTTTCTCAAACACTTAATGTTTATTTTCACCCACCGATTTTATGGGGGATAAAAATAAGAACAAGAATAAAATTTGGGCACTCTGTTTTGTCGGTTATATTATTCTCTTTTATGACATTGTTCGATGGGATTTTACTCTGAAAAAAACGATAAATATCTGGCAGGTTATTAATTATTGAAGACACAGCTCCTGCTTTATGAATAAAAGACTTGGTAATCGGCCGTTAATAGAATGGGGCGTGATAAAAGGTGGTGAGACTTGTGTACATTGATGCGTGTTTCTCGGAAATCCGGATCGAAAGTAGATTATTATCAATTGGGGTTTATCTCTACAGGAGCGTGCTTCCATGTTATCTGTTTTTCGATTATACACATTTTCGTGATGTCAACAATTTATTTTCGTGATGCTTCAACTAAGAGGGATGTGATACTATTTTTTTTTAGCTCCAATTGATGTATTGGAAAAACAATTATGTTACAATATCCACTCGAAGGATTTCAAGAGCTTTTTTCTACAATTTTTATTTGACTGATTTTTTTTTTAGTTATTTGATTTTTCAATTTTTTGTACTCTAATCTATTGTGAAGAGACGGAAGATTAATGGGTGAAGGAGGTATCGTACTAAGTAGGAGAAACGGAGTTGCATTTGTAAAATTGAGTAATTTTACATAAATATTAATTTTTTCACAGGTGAAAAATTATATTGTATTACATTTTTTATTGCAAAAGATATTTTATTTATCTATACTGAAAAAAAATATTCTCTCATAAATTGTATTATGGTTTTGAGATAATAAGCTCGAATTAACTTTAGTGAATCATGAATTGAATTGAAAAAATTAAACTTTTGAACAAAGAGAAAAAATTCTCCATTGAAGAATTTTAAGGATTCGATGAAACACTTTACTATTTCTAAACAAGATAACTTTTATTTCACTCAACAATTTCTTTCCTTAGAATTAAAATCGGCGGTAACATTGATTAAAGATAGTATCGACTTGTTTTAAGAATACTAACTATGCTCAAATTTTTTTTTTATTTTTTATATCATCAAAAATAAGTTTTAAATACATTTTGAATGGCTTCAAGTAAAAATGGAAGAAGAATTTACTTGTCTAGAAAAATTTATCATAAAATTCTAAAGGAAATTATTGTTAATATTCGATATTTGTACTTTTCAACAAAATCGTGATTTTTTTTCTGTATACTGAACAGAATTTTAAACAAAATATTTTTTAAATAATTTTGTAGTCAAACATTTCTTGCTCCTATAGTAAAAAAACCGTTTAAAAAATTGTTTTTTGTTGTAATCAACTCACGAATGTTAGAAATGTGAAAATTGCATGAAAAAAAAAAAAAAATTCAAGTTGCCGCAGAAGTTTAAAATGTTTATTTTCTAATTTGGTTACTTTTTTGCATATAAATATGTTTTGATCAAACTACATGATAATTTTTTTTAATGAAAAAAACATTCAAGGCAAAAGAATTTCAACAAACTTTTCAACCCCAAGTACCTCATTTATCTATTCTTTCAAGAAATTATCTAGAATGTAAATAAAAATATAACATCGGTAGCCAAACATAATTAATCCAATTTATAATCATGGAGATATTAAATTCATTAGAGTCCTGAAAAATTCAGCATTTCTGCAAAAACTGTGTACTTTTAATTAGTTGAACTGTTTTACATTGTTTGAACTAAAGTGTCAAAAGTGTTAGTGTATAATCATCACGAATTTGGAAGCCCGGTAAAATGTTTGCCGAGTTAAATTATATTAGAGTTAACAGTGATACAGACAAACCGAAAAGAGCTCCACGCTATACTGGCGGGCCATTTATTAAAATCTAGTTCAACCAACGCCGCTTTTGCATTCGAAATGAGCGATTATACCCAAGCTTTTTAATTAATTTTCAAATATACACAGTAATATAATATAATATAATATAAACATAGTGAAGTAAATAACCACAAGCCACCGTTTATAGCTCTAGTATCTCTGATTCCCATTTTGTCTATCCACAAACCGCATCGAGATAAATTGTTGGTTAATGCATCCACACCAGCGTGGCAATACAAAGAATAGGTGTAATTTTTAACACGCTCACCATTATACGTCTTTTTTACCACAGTGTGAAAGATAAAAAATGTAAAAAACGCTTCAGTAATCAAAGAGTCAATAGACTGTTTGATTGTGCATAATAACAACAACAGTTTGAAGTCTTGAGTGTTACTTGGAGTCAGATTCCGAACAAAGCCCTTCATCATCATCTCGTGTCAAAGTCAAAAAAGAAGTGTCATTATCTAAGCGACGAAGACAAAGCAAGGAAAAAAATAAAAGTGATGAAGTGACTAAGTAACAGCGAAGCGTGTAAATAACACGAAGAAATTGAGCTTGAGCAAGCCGTTGGTCATTAATTTATGATATCTGCTCGTGAAAATATTTTTTTATTTTTTGATGGCCTTGTCAGGCTGTGTGAGAACATAAACATTTTTTCATTTGTTTTTTTCTAGAAATTTTTGCGTTAATTAGCACATGTTAAACAAAAATTGGCTTAATAATTAATTAAGCTAAAAAAAAAAATATCAAATAAACTCTTTAAGAGAGTTAAAGAAATAATTGAATATTGAAATTAACAGATTATTTTTATACTTTAATAATGGAATTTTAAAAACTTTTTTGCGAAGAAAAATGAAAATAATTATTTTTTTGAATCCTCCTATTGATTACACATGCAAGTTAATCGAGTGAGTCGGAAGCGGCTGATAAAACAACTAAACTGAAATTCAAAATGAAGATTCGTATGAAATACGACTATCATTGTTGAGTTTTCTTGTATTTTTCCAAAGGACTTTACGTCATTACATGCCGGGTAACTTCCACCGACCTCGAAACATAATACGTACTCAACAAGTACTCGTGGAACATTTCGTGTACTGTGTACTATACCTGTTAAGTTGAGTGTGCTTATATATGTATAGTATACAGATGAATATATATTCACATATATTAATGCTACTTGGGAAAAGTACTAAATTTAAAAAGTTTATTCATTTTTCATGACTTGTCCTTGACTTGACGACGGCCATCTTCGAGATGCTTTTGGCTATTAAATTAACTTTTATTTTCACTCCACCTGTGTTTTCAGTGCCATTTATTAAATTTTTGTCATTTATTTTAATTATTTGTTTATAATTTTTTTTTTTTTAATAAACTGAAATGTGAGGTGATATAATGTTAAATGTTTCCGTAATGGTTTTCTTAAATTTTTTTAAGCTTTTAGAGTTAAATAAGTGTCAAATTTTATTCAATTTTACGTACTATTGTTTTAAATTATTTTTTTTTTTAGTATATAAATTTTATTTAATTCATTACCAAAAAGAAATAAAAAAATAAAATTTATATTTGTCTAGAAAAAGAAATAAAATTCTTAGTGTCGGTAATTTTAACCGAAAAATTTTTTCCATATAGAAATTCATCAGATCAATAAAATGTCTACCTAAAAAAGCTTCCAACTTTTTCAACAAAAGATAGTTTTATTGGCCGCGATTTTTACGACTATTTTTTAGCGAGTTCAAGAACACCGATAGTGCTCGATAATTCGGTGATCACTATTAGAAGATTTACAATGTATCTCATGACTCCTTCGGTTAATCAAATGGTCGATGCTGAGCTTGATAAGGATTTACGTTTTTGCAAGACTGCCTTTTATTGGTCGAAACCGACTTTCAGTCTTCAAACGCGACTAACCGATGATCAAACCCTCGTCAAAAAAACTTTTAATGGTTTACATTCCAAATAATCGATCCTTGAATATTTACCAAATTATAAATAACAAATTTTCTTCGATCCAAAGTTCATGCGCTGAAGTTCAAGTTTGTTAAATTAGTTTCATTGTTTCGAAATTATTCAAGTTATAACTATTTACAGCTTTAATTTAAAATTTATGAAGCATTCAAGTAATACTTTTCAATTTTTAATTAAAAAATTCACGCTTTGAAATGAAAAATTAGTAAAATAGTAAACCAAAAAAAAAAGGTTTAAAATTTTTTTTTGCTCGACGGGCAGAAAGCGTCAAATTTCGGCCCGCTGCGCTAAACGAAATTGCCACTTTCTGCCTTCGTGGAGCAAAAAAATAGCATACACTCCGCGGGAAGTAAATAAGAAAGCCTCGGCCAACAATTACATATGATCTGAGACATTTCTTACTTTACTTCCCTCGGTGTGTAATATACTATAAATTTACTGAAGACTAATAATGGACTTTAATTTTTTAATCATCTTAAAAATTGAATAAAAAATAAATTTCCAAACTTTATAACCTGACAGCGACCACCAAATATTGTTAATTAATTAATAAAAAAAAAACAACGGACAGCGCGTATAAATTTTCATTACAAAAAAATGCAGTCGTGATATTTTTTCATTTAATCTAACAGATATTTATAATCCGAAGCAGCAGAAAGTTGGAAAAGTATAATTTAAATTTGTTATAAATCATTTACCTGAGAAGATTTAATCTTCGTACCACTAGCTATAAGATATTAGCACTATATTTTGCTATATGATAAATTATATCAACTGTAATAGTAATAGTAATAGTATAACCAGTAAGGTTCGCTTGTTGCACTGCACGTTACAGTTTTTCTGTTCCGTTGATTCACTGCACGTTCGATCGAGTGATATAACGATGGGCACTGCAATCAACCACCATGTTTACAAATAATAAGCAAATAAAATACCATTATTTTATTTTATTTTATTTATTGTAATAATAAATATAGATACAAATGTAAATTATGATATCAATAACGTAATTTTCCCTACTGGATTATTCAAGTCACGCACAAGGATATTTTACCTATTTTCTTTCATGATTAATGTCCGAATGAAATACGGAAAAAAATAAAATATTTACATCATTTAACTATAGATTAACTGAAGAGACTTTTTTTACAATTACAGTAGTTGTTTTAATTAAATAAAAAAAACTTTATCAGTTTGATTCCCGATCGGATGAATGTAAATAATTTAGTTGGATTTTAATTACGATGTCAAGTGAAACTAGTCGGCGTTACATCAGACCGGTCCGACATCTGAAGCGGCTTGTCGAGCACTGAAGGCAACTCAGGAAAGCTCACGCAGGCGTTTCGGCATCATATCACGTTATTCTATATTATGAACAAACTTATGATAATAGGAGTCTGCGTTGTTATTTTCTCTTATTTTCTTTTTATAAATATGGGTACGAATAAGTAACCGAGGCAAAACGGAAATATGAAAATTTGTGGTCAAAATGGTATTTTTTTTTAATTTAAGATTAAAGCTGGTCATGTGATTTCTTTTGGC